AAACCTCAAGGCCTGCTCTCTGGCTGGTTCCCTATTTACATGCTTTCTTCACCAGGGAGCCTTAAGTCACTTTCCCTCTGATGTGTCACTTTCATACTTGGGTCCTCCTATGCTAGCTCTAAGTGGCTGTTTGGGGGTCTCTACCCGGCCTAGGGAACAGTGCTTTGAAGTGGTCACTGGCCCTTTAAAGGTTTCAGTGCCCCACTGGCTTTCAGAAAAGCTCCTCTGGAAGATACTAGGAGTAGTGGTGATACAGTAACTCCTCACTTAACAGTGTAGTTCTGTTCCTGAAAAATGCAACTTTAAGTGAAACTGTGTTAAATGAATCCAGTTTTCCCATAAGATTTAATGCAAATGCGGGGGTTAGGTTCCAAGGAAGCTGTTTCGGCATTATATACTGCACAGTACTGTACTGTGGTGGGGATGCGCCCCTGGCTTATCCCACACATACACAGCCCGCTGCAGACAATGAGGCAGGCAAGGACGCTGGGAAGTACCTTGTGCAGCAGCAGCTTCCCCCGAGAAGAACAAGCCCTAACTTTGCTGTGGGATGCTCCAGGCCTGCCTCTTCCTGTCCCTGCTCTGCTCCAGGCCTGCCTCTTCCCACTCCCACTCCTCCCCGGAGCACGCCGTGTCCTTGTTCTTCCCACTTCCTCGCAGTGCTTCCCTGCCGCCAAACAGCTGTTTGGAGGCACTTAGGACTTTCTGGGAGAGAGGGGGGGAGGAGCAGGGACGCGGCACTTCCCCGTTCCTCCCCTTCCCTCCAGTGGCAGATTTAGAGTTAGTGGGGCCCTGTGCTCAGCTTCATTCCACCCTCACCTCCATTCTCTCATCTCCCCTCCCCCCCGTTTTTCATTTTTTCTCTCCATTTTCCTCCTGGGGCTGGGGGTGCAGGGTCTGGGAGGGAGTTAGGGTGTGGGAGGGGGCTCAAGGTGGGGGCGCAGGGTCTGGGAGGGAGTTAGGGTGTGGGAGGGGGCTCAGGGCTGGGGCAGGCAGGAGGTGCAGAGCACTTACCTGGGGCAGCTCCTGTTTGGTGCAGGGGGTGCGCCGGTGGCTCTGCGCAGTGAGGCACCGCCCCCATGGCCCCGATTCTGGGAGCTGCCCCCCCTGGCCAGGCAGGGCCACCTGGAACGCGGGGGCTGCAGAGCCCTGGCCTGCAGCTCTAAAGCCCTTTTGGAATGCGGCCCTGCAAGCACGGGCCGGAGGACTCGGGAGCAGCAAGGGCAGCCACGCAGCCAGCCGGCCGGAGAGAAGCGGTGCTTTGAAGGGGAAAGTACAGCTTCTCTCCGGCCGCTGGCTGAGCGGCTGCCCCTGCTCCTCCGGCCCACCACATTCCGAAAGCGGCTTTAGAGCTGCAGGCAGGGCCCCGGGACCCCTCAGCCCAGGGTCCTGCAGCCCCTAATGCCCCTGCCTCGCCGGGGGAGGGCAGCTTCCCTGCTCCCTCCCTCCCCAGAAAGTCCTAAGCACTGCCAAACAGCTGTTTGGCGGCGGGGGAAGCGCTGGGAGGGAGAGGGAGGAGGCGGAGAAGAGGAACTTGGGCAATGCTCCCTTGTAAAGTCGCTGCTCTTCCACAGAATCATACAAGCAGTGGACAGACCAGGCAGCCAAACCACGTTATAAGGGAGCATTGCACAACTTTAAAGGAGCACGTTCCCTAATGGAGTAGCAGCGTAACTTGGAAACAACGTTAAGCGGGAGGGCGTTAAGTGAGCAAGTGTCTTGCTGCCCCTTCCTCTGCTGGTGCACCTCCACCCCCTGCCCTAGAGCGATCTGTCTCGGCGTCTTTCTCCAGCCTGGCCCAGTCCTTGGTCTCTTACCAACAAACTTTCGCAGGCAAGACCCATCCAGCCACAGAACCGATCTAGTCGTGTTACGCCTTCGGCGGCCCGTGGTTAGTGGCCACTTCAGATCCCAGTCGCTGTGGGTGAGTGAGTTGGGACGCCGATCGGTCAATAATACCGCGTACAATGCAGCAGAGGAGCGACTGTCCATATCCGCTGCTCCCCTGTCTAAAAGGGGCCAAGCGGCAATGATGATTGCTGGCCTTGCGCAAAAGCGCCACGGCGGATGAGGTGGGGGGAGGGGATGTGGTCGGTCAGTGGGCTGTAAATACACACATGCAGAGCTGTGATCCACCCCGCCAGCTGGGGGCAGCGTTCTGCCTGGGCGGACACGCACGCAAGGCGTAATTCAAGTAGGGGGCAGCCAACTCTTGTCACTGGATTGCGAGTCTCGCGACTTACAGCATGTCTCCGAACGCTTCGGCTCCTGGCCGCAGGTGTCTGCACAAGCATCTCTGCTGACAAGATGGTTTAAAATGTAAATTTCTAGCCCTTGTGGCTGCCGGGAAAAGCTTGAAACTGACCTGAAGTAAAAAAAAACAAACAAACCAAAAAGCACCCCCCCCGGGCCCCCACCAGTAGGTGAATTAAAAAAAAAAAAAGACCCAACGTGAAACTCAGGGCGAGGGGACAAGATTTTGCTATGCAACAGCCCTGCCTCCAGATCATGACTAAAGAGTGGCAGACAAAGCCGGGAGAGGCAGCGTCTGGCAGTATCGTGGGCTCATGGCCAGCCCTGCCGTGCTTCGTCTGTTGGTGAATTGAGCGAGCTAGATCTTGCCAACTCAGCAGTGTGGTGTGGATTTGTTTGCAAGGTGCTTCTTGGATGTCCAGTGTTTTTTTTTTTTTTCCCCTTTCTCATCTAATAGGCTCCATCTCCTTTCTAACCAGGAAAGAAACTCCCAGCTCTTGGGAGGGGCTGTGCTCAAACTTGCAGGTGAAACCGTGGGCTGCCTGGCTCTCTCCGTGGCTCTGGTTTCTAAGAAGGCTACATCATGTAAGAGAGGCGGGGAGTTTCCTGCCAGGGCTAGGAAATTCTCTGTTTGAGGCAGAGGGGGTCGTGCCATTTAAGTCTGTCCTGAACCAACCAGCCAGCATAGGCAGCGTTGCCTAGTGGGTAGAGCCCTGGGCTGGGAGACTTGGGTTCTGTTCTGAGCTCTGCCCCTCCCCTGTTCTGTGTCCCCACTCCCTGCCTCACTTTTCCCTAGGACACACTCTTCTCTAGCCCCTTTAGGGCAGGGCCTTTGTCTGGGCAGCACCCAGCACATGGCGGACCCCGGTCTCCGCTGGGGCCCTGTAGCTGTGACTGTAATAAACAATGGTTGGTTCCGTACTAGCAGGGTGGGCTGTGTGTATCTGGGAATGGATGTGCTGGGGCTTGGGCCTCTGTTTCTGCCGGCAGCCAGAGCTGGGTGTCCTGGGTCAAGTTGCTGCTGCTTCTTGTGCCTCAGTTTCCCCATCTCTAAAACGAGGGTTGTGATGCTTTTGTGAAGTGCTTGAAGGCTTGTGGGTGAAATGCGCTTTATTATTGATCAAGAGGCTTGGGCCCAATGGGTGGGTGGGAAGGGGGTGGCCTGTTCCTTTAAAACCTCATCCCCATCTCCTGCTTCTCAGACCCTCACCTCCTGCTGACGCTGGTGGTGAAGGCAGCCACCTCGTCCTGTCCCCTTTAAGGGGCAGCAGCCGCTGTTCACGCTGCGGGCAAGTGCCAGGCCAGACTAGCCTTTCTGCTAAGCAGGTCTCTGCCACAGGCCAGTCAGAAGCCACTGGCCTATATTTAGCAGGAGGAAGGAAGAGCCCCATCCAGGCTGGCTCAGCCCCGGGGTAGCTGACAAGAAGAGCAGGCATGTGGCAGAGAAGTCTGAACGCTGCCTTTTTCTTGCAAACCACATTACAGGGAGCTGCCCTCTCGAGCCCATTTCACACCAGGCTGCCTGTCTGTCCCTCCACTCCGGGGGGTTCTCCGAGCTCCTAGCAGAGGAGATTTTTGGTTTCGTTTCTCTTTTCTTGCCCAGCTTTTTCAGAGACCGCTTGCGTCGGGCCTTGGGGTGAAATCCCACCAAAAAGCACCTTCCCGTCATGGCTGTGTGTAGAAAAGGGTTTTGTTTTGTTTTGTTCCGTTCCCATGATGCGCTCTTTCTTCCACTGCCCCAGGGGGAGATCTGGGTTTTCTTCTTGGCTCTGGGGAGTGGGGTCGAATGGCTGGAGCAGTGGGAGATTGGGTGTCAGGACTCCTGGGTTTTTATCGTGGTTTAGTGCTACATCAGAGGGGAAATTGGAAGTACAGAATCTTCTCTTCTGAGCTGGGAGTAAGACTTGGGAGTCATGACTCCCCGCCCCACCTGCTGAAACCACTAGATACCACTCCCCTCCAAGAGCCAGGGTGAGAACCCAGGAGTCCTGGCTCCTTGTGCCCTGCTCTGGCTAGTAGACTACACTCCTGGGTTCTGTGACCAGCTCTGGGAGTGAGGTGCAGTGGTTAAGCAGAGGGGACCTGGAAATCAGGACTCCTGGGTTCATCTCAACTCTGCCACTGGTTCACTATATGGAAATGATCAAGTCTGTCCGTCTTTCTTTCTTTCTTGCTCATGGCCTCAGTTTCCCCATCTGTGACGTGGGGATAACAGCCCTACCTGATGGGCTGTGTGGAGAAGTATATTAAAGTTTGAGGGGCACTCAGACGTTACAGTACCAGGTAAGTACGACAGACAGACAGGGATTCCAAGGACTTTACAACCTAGTTCCAGCTGGGTCCAGTGGATCAGACGCTGCACTGAGACTTGGCAGAGCTGATTCTGTTCCCAGCTTTGCCGATGACCCTGGGCAAGTCACTACCTCTCTCCCTGCCTCAGCTGCCCCTCACACTGCTGGCCTGGATTAGCTCACGAACAGTTTGGAGCAGGGCTGCGCTCTCACAAAAAGTCCGCAGCTTTCCCGTTGTCCTCAGGGTGGGGCTGGTAGATTTCTGGTGCTGGAACTGGGTCTCGGGGTTCCTTGACGACTTCTTACGATGGTTTCTATCTATCCGGGGCCTTCTGGTCTGATGGCTATCTCTGGCTGGTAACTGTCTTGGAATCTTCCTGGTGCAGGGAACCCCCTACCCTTGTTTCCCAGGAAACCTCCACTCTCCTGTGGGTTTTTTTTCTTTCCCGTTTGCAGGAATCTGGTGAAAAAGTATCTTCCGAAACGGAACACAAGAGAAGATCCAGAATCCAAGTAAGTGCCTCTGTCTATCTGATCTTGGCACGTCATTCTCTTGAAGCTAGTTGAGAGACAGAATGAGAACCAAAGACTGGGTGTTTTTAAGGACACAAAAGCCTGGCTAGGTATAAATGGTCCTGCCTCAGTGTGGCAGAGGATGGACTAGATGACCTTTTGAGGTCCCTGCCAGCCCAATGTTTCTATGATTCTAAGTTTAAAGCCAGACAACTTCAAGTTAGAAATAAGGCACAATGCTTTAATGGTAGGGTGATAAACCATTGGTCCAACTTCCCCAAGGAAGCAGTGGAGTCTCCATCCCTTGATCTTCAAATCCAGGCCGGCTGCCTTTCTGGAAGGTGCATTTGTGTTGGACTAACGCAAGTTATCTGGCTTGGCACAGGAGTAATTGCGTGAAATTCTGTGGCCCGTGCCCTCCAGGAGGTCAGAGGAGATAACAGAATAGCCCCTTCTGGCCTTAAACTCTATGAATTGCAATGGTTCAAGTTTCTTTAATAGATCTAAAGGCCAGAAGGGAGCATTGTCCTCTAGCCTGATGTACATAAAAGGCCAGAGAATGTCACCCTTTGGAACTCCTTGCCACAGGAAGTGGTTGAAACCAGGAATTTAGTAAGTTTCAAAAAGGGATTGGACACTTTTATGTGGGGAGCAGGAATATCCAGAGTGATCACAATTACAGCTAACGACTATTCTGGAAGGGTTATTAAACCTCAGGCATTGGGATTTAAACTGCTCTCTGACTGTTAGAGGCCAGGATGGGACTTAATGCGGGGAGCAGATTATTTTACATTGGATACAGCGGGGTTCTTACACCTGCCATCTAGAATCATAGAATATCAGGGTTGGAAGGGACCTCAGGAGGTCATCTAGTCCAACCCCCTGCTCAAAGCAGGACCAATCGCCAACTAAATCATCCCAGCCAGGGCTTTGTCAAGCCTGACCTTAAAAATATCTAAGGAAGGAGATTCCACCACCTCCCTAGGTAACGCATTCCAGTGTTTCACCACCCTCCTAGTGAAAAAGTTTTTCCTAATATCCAACCTAAACCTCCCCCACTGCGATTTGAGACCATTACTCCTTGTTCTGTCACCTGCTACCACTGAGAACAGTCTAGATCCAGTCTAGTGCTGGCATTGTCCGGATCCTGGACTCGATGGAGTAGACTGCCTGTCTGATGCAGTCTGGTGTATTCCTGCCCCAGGCCCATGACTTCTGATTGGCGCAGAGCACTGGAAAGGCTTCTGTGAGGGTGCAGAGATGGGCTGGAACCTCTCAGCCGGACCCCAGAAACGTCAGGAGTGTCGGGCCATTGGATTTGATCTTGTTGTTTGTTTGCCCCCCAGTTTGGGTCCGGGCTCTGCCCTTGGATGGTGGGGAAATTGACTGAGATCTGCTGCTCTCATGAGATCGGCCAGAAGCGGCAGAACACTTAGCTTGCCAGGCAGCCCACCGGAGCCGGTGACCATGGCTGATCCAAACCTTCAGCCTGGATCAACCTCTGTCTCCGGCCCTAATCCAGCCCATCAGACACCCTCCTCTAACCCTCTGCTCCGCTGCCGATATCGAGACTGGCCACTTCCTTTAGAACTTTCCAGCCCAGAACTTTGCACCCCAAACGTCTTCCCCTTGCTGGGCCTGCACGAAACAGGTGGCTGTTCCATTTACAGAGAAATTGGCTACAAAACATAAATGCTGTGGCTGGGGAAAACCCCTGTGACTTTTCCCATTTTGTCCGTGGCTTTCTTCTGTGTCTGACTCACCCCGCAGCAGCGGTTCCTGTGGGGCTGGACCCAGCTCCCCGCTGCAGGTGTTGCCACCCAGAGCACCGGCTCACGGCACTGCTCAGGTCTGGCCGGGCCAAGCCCAAGCAGCACGCTGATCCCGTACGCCAGGGTGCCGTGCCGGGAGCCGAGCGCTGGGCCCAGCTCCCCGGGACACAGGGGCTGCCCGAGCTGCTGCTGCTGCGGGGTGAGTGGGGATAGGGGCAGGGGCTTGCTTTCCAGGCCCACCCCCCAGCCTTGCCTCTGCACTGGGCCAGGATTACCATTGTAGTGCTGGGAGCGTTAATAGAGCTGCCAGGTGATCTGTCAATAGTAGGATGCCCCCTGCTGGCCAGTTGGAGAACTGCGCCGGAGTGTTTGCAATCGGCTGTATTGAGAGACAAGGATGTCACTATTGTGGATGAAGGAAACTGGGTTCTGGGTTTGCAAAATCTTTAGTCTCAGTGGCTTTGGATCTAAGTTCTGTTTCATTGACAGTTAAACCATCTCAAAGCTCAGATAAGGCTCCGGTTTTAGTAATGGATTTCTCTTCTCCCTGCCTCATCTAGAAAATCTAGAGTTAGAATAATAACTTTAAAAAAAAAAAAAGTTTCGGAAAGGATATAAAGCCTCATGATTCAAGGCATGTGCCCCAGCCTTTAACTGCGGGGGGACCGGAGACATCTTTCCCTGTCAGCAGGTTATCCTGTCATGCACTAATTGAGAGTTTCTTGCACCATCCTCTAAGGCAGCTCATATTGATTCCTAGATTAAGGCCAGAATGAACCGTTATGATTATTTTATAATAGCCACATGGGGAGAAGGTTTTCGGTAGCTGAGGCCTCTTGTTCTAGCAGAGAAAAACAGAATGAGATCTGATGGCCGGAAGATGAAGCTAGGTAGACCCCTCCAGGTACAGGTTTGGGCCAACTCATCGGAGGGATGTGGTGGATCCTCCATCACTCGAAGTCTTTGACCTTGAATCCGTGACCTCCTGCAGGCTGGAGGATTCCCTCCAGAGGTAGTTGCACTGAGCCCCTCCTCACGGTGGAGCGGCCTTGTGCATCATGGAGATTCCCATCTGGGCTTAGCAGAGGCGGGATCCTGGCCTAGACTGAAACCTGTTCTGATCCAGGCTGAGTTTGGAGATGCCTGGGGCAGATGAGCTGGGGGGTTGAGGGGCTGGGGGTGTATGTACTGAGCCTCTGCACCAACGACCTTCGCATGATCTTGTTGCTCGCCCCCTAACTCTGCCCGTGCTCCAGGTTTTGCCAGTACCAGGCCTTCCTGCAGGTGGTGAAGGAGCTCAATGACTTTGCTGGGCAGAGGGAGGTGGTGGCGGAGAACCTGATGACGCAGATCTGCATGGAGCTCTCTAAGAATGCCCAGGAGCTCAAGCAGGAGAGGAAATCGGTAACGCTTTCTCCCTCCCTGTCTTCCAGTGCAACTGTCCAGGGCTTAGTAATATCTAGAGGGGTGGGGGATGTGGATCCAGCTAAGCCCTGGGCATCCTTTGCGGCCGGGTTACATACGTGGGGTCCCCACTGAGCCTGAAGAGCTTGGGTAATGGTACCAGCCAAGTGTGCCTCTTTGCAGGGCCCACCCACTAGGGGGAAACCGCCTGCTACTGCCTTGAAGTAAGGTACGGGGCCTTTGGCTCAAGTGGTAGAGGGAGGGTGCTTTTAGCTCCAACGGGACCCAGGTTCAGTCCCTGCAGATGCTGCGTCCTTTGGGTGAGAATTTCGGCCAGCTCGCTGTAATGACTGACGTTCCCTCTGGGAGTTGGGGCCATCTCTGCCTTCCTGGAGGGTTTGCATGTGGCTGGACGTGGGATCGGTGGGTGCATCGTAGGGTGCAGTAGTCACGCTGCTTTTGGGGAGCTTTTTTAGAACCTGGGGAACTACCAAAATTGCCGTCCTCCTGGAGAGAAGGGACGTGTACGTGCCCCGTGGTGCTGCTGTAATACAGCTTATAGGGGTTCAAGAGCGTCCCTGGACTGGGGCTGTCTAAGTGTTACCATAATACACCTAATAAATAGCCAACAGCAGGACATCCATCAAGGCACTGTCAATGAATAACGTACAGCGCCTAGCACCATGGAGCCCTGGCCGCTACTGTAATACACCTAATGAATAAATTAGCCAACACCAGAGCGTTTTTCATCACAGCCTGAATTTTCAGAAGTGCCTAGTGATTTGGGGCCCTTGAGACTTCTTAAAGGGACCCCGACTTTTTCACTGGGGCAGGGTGCTTGGTGCTGTCTGAAAATCAGGGTCAGTTGAAGGAGTCTCAAACTTCCCAAATCTCTAGCCACTTCTGCAAATTCTGGTTGTGATGAAGAACATTCTGGTGTTGGCTAATTTATTCATTAGGTGTATTACGGTAGAGGCCAGGGCTCCTTGGTGCTAGGCGCTGTACGTTATTCATTGGTAGTGCCTTGCCGCGCTAGGTGCGGTACAAACACAGAACGGAGAGACGGCTGAAAATCACGAGGTTCTGCTGACGTTTCTCCTCTTTGCAGCACTTCCAGGAGGGCCGGCGAGCCCAGCAGCAGCTAGAAAACTCCTTCAAGCAACTCGAAAACGTGAGTCCCGGGGAACAGGGCCAGCTGTTTACGTTCTGTTCATGCTCGCTTTGGGCCTGATCCAAGCTCTTTGGAGCCGCCGGGAGCCTTTCCGTTGGCCGTGAGGAAGCTTTGGATGGCACTCGCCAAGACCCAGCTGCACGGGTCAGCTGGTGCTTTGCAGAGAGCACAGCTGGTGGAAGGAAATGCCTTCAGGAGAATGAAAGGGGCTTTATTCAGAGGAAGTCCAGAACATGTGCAGCAAAACTGTTCTGTGGTTCGGGTGGGGGGAAGGCTGGAAGTCAGGACTCCTGGGTTCTGTTGCTAACTCAGGGAAGGCAGTGGGCTCTGATGCATGAGACCAGGGGTTCTCAAACTTCATTGAACCATGACCCCCTTCTGACAACAAAATTTACTATATGACCCCAGGAGGGGGGACTGAAGCCGAAGCGCCTCCCCCCGCACCCAGTCCCGCCGTCCCGGGTGCGGGGGCCGAAGCCAGAGTCCCCCGTCAGTGGGGTCCGAAGCCCACGGGCTTCAGCTCCAGGCAGGGGGCCTGTAACTTGTGCCCCGCCACCCAGGGCTGAAACCCTCAGGCTTCGGCTTTGGCCCTGGGCCCCAGCAAGTCTAACGCCAGCCCTGGCAACCCCGCGAAAGTAGGGTCGTGACCCACAGTTTGAGAACTGCTGCATTAGACCAATGGGAGGTGCTGGGAGTCAGGACTCCTGGGTTCTGTTTCGAGCTCTGGGAGGGGAGTGGGGTCTAGTGGGTTAGCTGGGAGTCAGGACACCTTGGTTCTATTCCCACCTCTGCCACACACTCACTCCATGCTTTAGGGCAAGTCCCTTAACCTTTCACCTTAGCTTCCTTCTCTGTAATGGGGGAGAGTCCCTGAGCCCCCTTCCCTGTGGTTCCCCCAAATCCTGTGGGTGGGAAGGGGCTGTGCGCTCCGGCAAGGTAACGCTGGCTTGTATCCCCGCCGTCCCCCCTTCCCGCTCCCCACAGAGCAAACGCAAGTTCGAGCGGGACTGCAGGGAGGCGGAGAAAGCTATGCTGGCTGCCGAGAAGCTCGACCAGGACCTCAATGCCACCAAGGCGGACGTGGAGAAGGTTGGAACATTGCTGTCTCCTTGGCTTGAATCCCTCTAGCGTGGGCCTGTTGGGGATGGGGGAACCATCAGGTGGCATGGGAATGGGTCCAGCAGGATAGGAGGGGACCCATTGGGTGATGTAGTCCATGGGTTTTGCTAGCTGCTTCACAGATTGGTATGAAGACCAGGTTTCTGCCCCAAAGAGCTGACTATCCAGAACTGGCCGCGTTCAGAGAGGCTGGATTAGAGAAAGAGGATGGTGCCGGAGTTCAGGCTTGGAAAGATCTTGGTTCAGTTCCTGGCTCTGCCATAGACCCCCCCTCTTCCCCCCGCCCCAGGTGACCTTGGGCCAGTCACTTCATCTGTGCCTCAGTTTCACTCTCTCTGTGATGGGGCTAACGATCCTTCCTGAGGCTGTTCAGGCTGACCTCTCAGGGGCCGTGTCTGCAGCACCTGGCACGATGCAGGGCACCCCCCTCCCAGCCTTACCAGGGGGTGCAGTGATGGGGGCGCGGGGGGGTTAACTGTATGGTGCAGAGGAGAAGAGCAGGTGGGAGAGAGGCCCTCCCCAGGGCTTGCTATTGAGGATGGGGAATTTGCCCCCGGCCCAAGGTTTGAATACAAGGGATTCCCTGTGCTGTGTCTGCCCCCGGGGACGGAGCTGGGCCTGGTGTGATGATCGCTCTAACCCTGGCAGGCGAAGCAGCAGGCCAATCTGCGCAGTCACATGGCGGAGGAGAGCAAGAACGAATACGCCTCCTTCCTGCAGAAATTCAACCGGGACCAGAGCCAGTTCTACTTCCTGGAGATGCCGCAGATCTTCAATGTAAGCCCCTCCCCTTGACTATAAGCTCCTCGCCATCAATATAAGCCCCTTCTACTTAATCTTAGCCCTGCCTCCTCCTTTCTGTCCTTCCCTTCTTTTTCTTTCCCTCTTCATGCCAGTTATACCAATATAATAATGATGCCTAGCTCTTATCTGTGGATCTCAAAGCCCTTCACAAAAGGTATCACTATCCGTGTTTTACAGATGGGGAAACTGAGGCATAGAGAGGGAAAGTGATTTTTCCCAAGGTCACCAAGCAGGCCAGTGGCAGAGCCAAAAATAGAACCTAGGTCTCCGAGGCCCCGTGCAGTGCTCTAACCACTAGGCCAGGTTTTGACATGTTAGCAGAGTCCTGGCCCATGGCTTGGACTCCCGTGCTTGGTGCTGTCTAAACACGGATCAAGTTGTCGTCACTGCCTCAGACAGCTTCCAGCCTAAGTAAGGAAATAGCTAGATGGGAATAGAACAGCCTGTGCGCTATGGGGAGTTGTGATGCTTTCACTACATAGCTTTTGTGTGTGAATCTTGGGAAGGTCCTGGTCTCGTAGCCTGCGGAACTCACTGCTCAAGGATGGCAAAGTACACACGTGAGGAAAAGTATTTCTTCCTCATCTACTAAAACTGAAAGGTGGAAAATTCAAAACACATATCCCATTGCTCTTGTGTTGTGGGAACAGCCCTACCCGATCTTCCCTTCTCAATCTCACCCATTATTGTGTGGATTTCTGTGGGGTCGGTCTCATCCCCAAGGTAAACAACTCTAGCCTTTTTCAATCAAACTAGCTGCCCGTCCAGCATATAGGACTCCCGGGTCCTATATCTGGCTCTTCCACTGGCCTGCTGCGTGACTTTAGGCAAGTCATGCCCCCTCTCTGTGCCTCAGTTTCCCCATACGTGAAATGGGGATAATGGCACTGACCTCCTTTGTAAAGCACTGGGAGATCTGTGGATAAAGCACTTTATAAGAGCTGGGTATTAATAATAATAATTAATAATAATTGTTGTCTTTTCCAGGGCTTTTATCATTCTCACTGTTTTCTGCTCCCTGCCCCTTGCAGAAGCTGCAGGAGATGGACGAAAGGCGGACGGTGCGGCTGAAGGAAGGCTACGGCATCTTCTCCGAGACTGAGCGGCAAGTCATGCCCATCATCGGCAAGTGCCTAGACGGCATGAAGGCAGCGGCCGACTCAGTGAACGAGAAGAACGTGGGTCCTGCAGTCTCTTTAAATGTAGTGCCCCAGGAGTGGAAAGCCCATTGGAGTTGCTACAGCACCTGCCCTCCAATAGGAAGGCAGACCTCCCCCCCCAAGTAGGCGGGGCTAACTGGGTGGGATCCAGGTGTCATAACCTCCACCCTCCACTAGGGGCCCCGGGCCAGCATGGGGGCAGTTTTGCTTTTACTTCACCTGGAGCAGTTAAGTCAGTCTGGCCCCAGATTGCAAACCCAGAGGGATTTGTGGGTATTTTGTGTCCTAGGGAATGGGAAAAGGACCCAGGCTTCCTGACTCCAACTCACCCTGCTCTAACCACCACACCTGCTCCTCTTGCAGACCCAGGGAGTCAGGACCCTGCGAGGGGAGTGGGGTCTAGTGGAGGGGGGATAGGGCTGAGAGTCAGGACGCCTGGGTCCTATTTGGACATGTGTCCGTGGATAGAATAAGGATTGGCGTCCGATCTGTAGAGATCAATGTGGAGCGGGGGAAGAGCCCATTTCAAGGAGCTGGAGCCCAGCCCTACGTGCAAGTGTTTCTGGGGAGATGGGAACGCTGCAGTGAGGAGGAGCGGGCGCTAGGTGGGGAGGGTAGCAGCTCTGGTTCTCCCGGCGGTGACGCCCTCCCCCTCGCCCCACCGCCGGCAGGACTCCCAGGTGCTGATCGAATTACACAAGTCCGGCTTCGAGAGGCCGGGAGACGTGGACTTCGAAGACTTCAGCCAGCCTATCAACCGCACCTCTTCGGACAGCAGCCTGGGGACGCCCCGGGGCACCCTGGATGGCCGGCTGGACCCCCGCCTGCTAGGCAAGAATAAAGGGAAGCGCTGGCTCTTCAGCAAGAAGAATAAGGTAGGAACTGGCAGTAAGGCCCTGAGTCCCTGGCTCTGGGCGCTGCTCGGGCTGGGGCAGCTCAGCCTGGCTGGAACTGGGAGCGGGACCTTGCGGTCGAAGCACTGAATTGGGAGTCAGGACTCCTGGGTTCTAGTCCCCTCTCGGGGGTGCGGGTCAGGACTCCTGGGTTCTAGTCCCAGCTGTGGCAGGTGAGTGGGGGGTGAGTCTAGTGGCTAGAGCAGGGGGGCTGGGAGTCAGAACTCCTGGGTTCCGTTCACAGCTCCAGGAGTCCTGACTCCCAGCCCCACTCCCCTCCCGGAGTTGTGACTAGCACCCACGAGTCCTGACTCCCTGCCCTAACCACTAGACCCCCCCCCACCTCCTACACTACCAATTGGCATATGCCCGTCCATATCTCCTTCTGCCCCTTTGTCTAGCCTACTAGCTATGCAGAGGGGCAGGTGCTACCAGGCACCGGTCCTGGGCCACATCCCTTATCAACTATAGAGGAACAGCTGCCAAATGCAGTTCTGGGTGCTCTGGGCCTCAGCTGCTGCCCCCCCCCCCCCTCCCCGGCCCGAGCGCTGCTAAGATGCCCGGGTAGCTAGTGGCCTGCAACCCCCTTTGCTGCAGGCTACGCCCCCGTTTGACCCCGGTCTGTGATCGTTCTCCCTGGCTGCATCTTCCTGCCTGTGCATGATGCCATAAAAGAGCATTAAGCCCCTGTCTTTCTCGAGCGCTGGTCCAGCGAGGCTGAGATGCTAATAATTAACCAGTTCTGGAGCACAGGCTGCAAATCAGCCAGCATGAGCCCCTCTCTTTCTGTCTCCTCCACTGCTGGCCCTGCCCAGTCCTCTTGTCCTCCATGAGTCACATCCGAGGCACCCCTCCCTCCCGCGCCCTAGGAGAGCAGCCTTGGGAACATGCTGTTCCAACAAGGAATCTTGACCTGGCTTTTACGCCAGGTTAGAGCTCTTGGGGCAGGGAGGGGGTGGGTGTGTTTTTTTGCATCTTGGTTTTGGGATCCCTGAATAACTGTGAGGCTGTTTATTAATAACCTGCCCCCCCTCACCCCCCCCACCACACACACACACTCCCCTGTGGAATGGGTCAGGATCAATGATGGCCATGCTCCAGGACAGCTCTCTCTTGTCTGTGGGATCCTTTTCAAAATAATAATAAAAAAACCTCGGTCTCCCAACACGCCCGGTTTAGCAAGAGGCTTGTTAGCAAAAGCAGGTCACAGCCACATGCGTCTCAGCCCTTTGAGACCCGCCCCCCAGGGTCATGTCTGTGTTTGTAGGATTTCTCTTCCGTCCTCTTCCCCCATGTGTTACCTGTGTCCTAACCCCCATGTCCCGTCTGTACTGTGCAGAACAGAGATCACCCCAGATCGCACTGGTCAGAGTGGCCACAGCCTTGGGTTTTGTTTTTTTTCTCCACCTTCCTCTGCAGCGTGGGGTGTGAGTCGGTTTATCTGGGTTTATCTCACTTAATTCCCTGCCGACGCAGGGCCCCAGGGAGGGGTCCCTCCGATTCTCTGCCTGCGGCATGTGTGTGTTTAGTCTCTAGTGGGCTGTATTTGGCCTATTGGCTTTAGTGGGCAGGTGCTGGGTGGGTGACACAGGAGGTCAGACTAAGGCCAGAACGGAGCCCCGATCCGAACCGCTGACCTGGCTGTCCTCTGAGCTCTGCTCCCCCGCGTCACGTTTGTCCTTTGCATGCTCCATCTTCCTCCAGCGTCCACATTCTGGCTGCATTCTCCCCTTTCCCCTTGTACATCCCGGCCTGCGTGGGAGGCTAGCGCAGGCTGCTGCTCTGAGGAAGGGACATGTTTCTGGCAGAGAAATCCTTGGGGATGGGGGCAATGGTGCGGTCAGCTCCCTTCGGCTTTTCTGGGCTTTTCTATAACTCCCACTGAGGCTCGTCACAATTCGGGGCAACGGCAGCGGTCCCCTTTCTGCAGGGAGCCCCGAGTCTCGCTCCCTTCTGCCGGGGGGAGTCCCGGCTACACGGTTCCCTGCCTTCACTGTGCGTTTCCTAGCAAGGACAGCCCTGCTGAGAACGGAGATATTGCTTCAGATCTGTGTTACACCTTCATGCTTAAGATAAAGGGCATTACAGAGAGAACCTCTACGAACAATAAAAGAACCCATACGCCCGCTAGCGAGCGAGCTCCCCCGGTATCACCCTGCCCTACCCATTCCTTTGCGGTTCCTCCGCACTTCGGCTCCCAACAGCCCCCCCGCCTTAGGAGGCCTCTGTCAGCCAAGTCCTTTCAAGGCTCCCTGAGGATCTGGCCCCTCCGTGGACCAGTCCGTTGGCTGGATCAGAAAGAAGGCTCTGATCTAGCTAGAACCCTGGCTTTTATCCAGATCGTCTCTTCCTGGTCTATGGAGAATCCGGTTTGAACAGGGACATGGATGCCTCCCCAGATGGCCAACAGAGTTAATTAGCATTCCCCCTCCCTCTTAGAGAAGGTACACCCCACGCACACCCAGCCCGGTGCATTTTCATACAGGGCTCCCCCAAGGTATGAACTCTTAACACAGGGAAGTGCAGCTTCATTCAGGAAAGTTTCTCTTCACTCCGTCCGGCTTGTCCAGGATATTAGGGGTTACTGTAAGTCTGTCACAGGGCTGTCCCGTCTCTCCGATGCTGGGGATCCTAGAGCTGCTGTCTAGTGAAAGATGGTTTGGAGGCCCCATTTGGTCACGCAGTGCATAAAGACAGGTTTCAGAGTGGCAGCCGTGTTAGTCTGTATCAGCAAAAAGAACGAGGAGTCCTTGTGGCACTTTAAAAACAAACAACTGTATTTGAGCACAAGTTTTCGTGGGCTAAAGCCCACTTCATCAGATGCATGCAGTGGAAAATACAGTAGGAAGATACATACACACATATATATATATGAAAAAATGGGGGTTGCCATACCAACTCTAACGAGACTCATCGATTAAGATGGGCTATTATCAGCAGGAGAAAAAAAAACTTTTGTAGTGATAATCAGGATGGCCCATTTCTAACAGTTGACAAGAAGGGGTGAGTAACAGTAGAGAAACAGTGTGTTTCTTCACTTCAGCAGGTGGGTATTGTAGTTGTAAGAATGCTTGATAGAGATCTTGTAGGTGTTTGTCCCTGTCTGAGGGGTTGGAGCAAATGCGGTTGCATCGCAGAGCTTGGCTGTAGACAACAGATCATGTGGTGTGGTCTGGGTGAAAGCTGGAGGCATGTAGGTAGGAATAGCGGTCAGTAGGTTTCCGGTATAGGGTGGTGTTTGTGACCATCGCTTATTAGCACTGAAGTGTCCAGGAAGTGGATCTCTTGTGTGGACTGGTCCAAGCTGAGGTTGATGGTGGGATGGAAATTGTTGAAATCATGGTGGAATTCCTCAAGAGCTTCTTTTTCCATGGGTCCAGATGATGAAGATGTCATCAAAATAGCGCAAGTAGAGCAGGGGCATTGGGGTCGAGAGCTGAGGAAGTGTTCTAAGTCAGCCACAAAAATGTTGGCATACTGTGGGGCCATGCGGGTACCCATAGCAGTGACACTGACTTAAAGGTATACATTGTCCCCAAATGTGAAATAGTTGTGGGTGAGGACAAAGTCACAAAGTTCAGCCACCAGGTTTGCTGTGACATTATCGGGGAATTCCACCATGATTCCGCCTTTGAGGAATTCCACTATGATTTCAACAATTTCCATCCCACCATCAACCTCAGCCTGGATGAGTCCACACGAGATCCACCTGCTGAGGTGAAGAAACAGATTGACAGAGCCAGAAGAGTACCCAGAAGTCACCTACTACAGGACAGGCCCAACAAAGAAAGTAACAGAACGCCACTAGCCGTCACCTTCAGTCCCCCAACTAAAACCTCTCCAGCGCATCACCAAGGATCTACAACCTATCCTGAAGGACGATCCATCACTCCCACAGATCTTGGGAGACAGGCCAGTCCTCGCTTACAGACAGCCCCCCAACCTGAAGCAAATACTCACCAGGAACCACACACCACACAACAAAAACACTAACCCAGGAACCTATCCTTGCAAGAAAGCCCGTTGCCAACTGTGTCCACATATCTGTTCAAGGGACACCATCATAGGGCCTAATCACATCAGCCACACTATCAGAGGCTCGTTCACCTGCACATCTACCAATGTGATATATGCCATCATGTGCCAGCAATGCCCCCTGCCATGTACATTGGCAAACTGGACAGTCTCTACATAAAAGAATAAATGGACACAAATCAGACGTCAAGAATTATAATATTCAAAAACCAGTCGGAGAACACTTCAACCTCCCTGGTCACTCAATTACAGACCTAAAAGTCAAAAAAGAAAAGGAGTACTTGTGGCACCTTAGAGACTAACCAATTTATTTGAGCATGAGCACAATTCTTCAACAAAAAAACTTCAAAAACAGACTCCAAGGAGAAACTGCAGAACTGGAATTAATTTGCAAACTATTTACCATTAACTTAGGCTTGAATAAAGACTGGGAGTGGATGGGTCATTACACAAACTAAAAACTATTTCCCCATGCTAATTTTCCCCCTACTGTTACTCACACCTTCTTGTCAACTGTTTGAAATGGGCCATCCTGATTATCACTACATAAGTATTTTTCTCCTGCTGATAATAGCCCACCTTAATTGATGAGTCTCGTTAGAGTTGGTATGGCAACCCCCATTTTTTCTGTGTGTGTGTGTGTATCTTCCTACTGTATTTTCCACTGCATGCATCTGATAAAGTGGGCTTTAGCCCACGAAAGCTTTTGCTCAAATAAATTTGTTAATCTCTAAAGTACTTTGTTAATCTCACAAGTACTCCTCGTTCTTTTTGCAGTGCATAAAGGGGACTTAATGTGGGTGGAGAAGACCCTGTTCAGGGACCTCCCAGGCCAGCGTGGAGCTGGCATAAGGGCCTATCCCCCAGCATACTGGGGACATGGCCAGCGTGATCCACGCTATGGCTTTTTCCGCTGCCTGGGACCTATGGGAAGCAGAGAGTAAGTTAGAGTGGCCCTCAGGAAGGACGTTGAGCAGGAGAAGGGGGCGGGGAAGGGCTGAGTGAAGCCCAATTGGTTAGTAGGCCAAGTACCCCCTCCTGCTCCAGATCTGGCCGGCCAATCAGCAAAGCTGGATGGGGACTCCCAGCTTATGGCAGCCTGTAGAAAAGGACCTGGGCTCTAGCACTCTGCACGCCGAGCCACTACTCCGCCCCAGGCTCCGTGAGCCTCCCTGGGTGTGCTGGGCCCATTTCACAGGCACTGCTGGCCGGGTCAAGTTTTCCCTCCCTCACCCACCCCAGAGGGAACTTCTTGCTCTCCTCGACTCGCGCCTGTTTCATAGCCAAGCCGCTTGCTGCTTCGCTCTTTGCATGCGCTAAAAACTCCTACCTGGCAACACGCAGACATCGATGCTCGGCGCCCTGCGTCCGCCCAGGAGCGGGGTGGCATGGGGAAAACCCGAAGGGGTCTCCCCTGTAGGAGGTAGCCCACTGGTGGGAAACCCAAGCTGTGGTTTGGATCTGGGGTTTCTGGCTTGGGGCCCTATTTCCCCTCTGCCAGCAGGGGTATAAAAATAGCATCTCGCCTCTTCTCACCCCTGGAGCTGCAGTGGGGGTAGGGCACATTGTGCCATGCGGCAAGCAGGGGGCATTGGCGCCATGCAGGGGTGGGTAAGGAGGGTGACGAGATAAGGAGGCCTAGGGAACATATATCCAAGGCAGAGACTCTAGGGCATCAGTCCCCACCCCCTGATTAGCCATGTGTTCCCATGAATGCTTCCTGCAGACCCTCACCCTTCTATCCTGCCTTCAGATTTCCACACCCCTCTCCTTTCCCCCCTCCCCCACTCCAGCTGAGGTAGGTGACCCCTGGGGTGAGGGTGCATCAATTAACCAAAAGCTCCCTCTATGGGGGGATATGTCATGGGGTGCAAGGCACTCAAGAAGGTGGGGGGGAGTTATCACATGGAAGGATCCCTATGGAGGGACTAATAGCTTGCTGTAAGGGGTGGGGTAGGGGAATGGATATTCCCCCCACACCCTGGCAGGGGTTTGCTAAAGGGAATGAGACCAACTGTCCACACTGAAGCTGGCAGGAATTTAGGCCTGGATCCAGCGAAACGCTTCAAGCTGCCCTAGCTGGGGGGGGGCCTGTGATGGGAAGGGAGGTAGGCTGAGAGAGTGAGATGAAGGTATGTGTGTGTGTGGGGGGGGTTATACACAGGCCTGTAGGAGCAAAGCAGCCTCTGGTTTAGCAGACAAGGGACCTTCATGTTGCTCACCTCCTGCTGTAACATGTCCCCCTCCCCAAGTCTCCTTACCATCTCCCATGATGCATTATGGTCTCCCCTCTTTGTGAGGGTAGGTGGTGCATCATGGGAGACACGAACAAAGTTCACTTTTCCCACCAAAGTGCCCCTCTACCAAGAGAGGAAGGTGGGAGCCGAAAGCCAGGTCCTCTTGTCGGTGTCAAGCTTCCCAGTCACATGGGTGCGAGGAAGGCCAAGGGTGCAGGGTGGGGCCCGATCCATGGTGTCAGTCACACCCCTGGTGCAGGATGGGACCCCAAGGGTTTAAGACAGGCATATTTCCAAGGGTCTTAGGGGAATTAGGCACCCAAAGTCCTTTGTCTTCCCATGGGACTTGGGTCCCTTTAGGATCATTTGAACAATACCTGGCCTTGAAAGGGTTCTGAGCCTAATCCCCTTCCCTTCGCTGCTGGGAGTCTCTACACGTGGGAGACAGCCAAAATGAGTGGTGGGCCTCCCCCTCGCTGCCCCCGGCTGGTGGGTTGTGATGGTGCAGCTTGTCCTGACCCCTCTCCCCTTTATTCCCTGTGCTGCGTTGGGGTTTTTTTTTGTGTGTGTGCGTGCCTGTTTATTTTCTTACAGAGTTCTCTCCATTGTGTGTCCCCATGTGTTCTGTTGTCCCTTTGTCTGTCCCTAGCTCCCACCCCCTCCCCTCTCCCCGGTGATCTCTGCCCCTCCTCCTTCCTCCTCGTCTGCCACCAACGGACCTCCATCCCCCAAATTCACCCGGGACCCTCTGTCTTACTGTCTGAATGAGATCAATAAGACAGTCAAACCCCGCATCGCCTCCTTCCGCAGCCTCAAACGGGGGGGTAAGTTTTGTGTCTTGTCTTTTGCTTTGTACCAAGCCGGGGGAAGTTGCTGCTGTTATGAAGGGCACCTGCAAAGAGAGAAACACAGCGGGGCTGTGCAGGAAGGAGGCTTAAAGGTTTTTTTTTGTTTTTGTTTTTTTTAAGGCCCTATTGCATCTACTTTGGCTTTCTGGCAAAACCCCCCTGAAAATGGAACTATTCAGAAATGCTACCGTAGTGCCTCCTGGAAGCTGTAGTTCACGTGCCATTGTCCTCTGGACCAGGCTCCCTGGTTGGACAACACCTCCCATAATGCACCATGGTGTGCCCTCTTTGTAAGGATTGGTGGTGCATCATGGGAGATGCAGTCCCATCCGGAGCCGAGCTCACAAAGGAGAACAGGAATATGCAGTTCGGTTGCTTCATGTGCCTGTTCTCCGCTGTGAGCTCGGCTCCGGATGGGACTGCATCTCCCATGATGCACCACCAATCCTTACAAAGAGGGCAGACTGTGGTGCATTATGGGAGATGTAGCCCGCTGAAGGAGCTTGACAGAGACTAACTGAACTACAACTCCCAGGAGGCACCGCGGCAGCATAGTCAAATCTAAATGCGTTGGGTTTCAGGTCTTTGTTTTGCTCAATGAGAACATCCGATCTTTCTGCCCAAAGCAGATGCGTTTCCCCAAATCCAAGTTTTTCCCATAAAAATTCAGTTTCCATGGGAATTTTTGCCCAGCCCCAGCACACACCCAATTATTTCTTATTTTACTGGTCACTTCTTAAACCCCCATGTTCTTGCTCTTTTCCACGTAGCTCCAGCCTCCCTTGCATGGTACAGCAGTCAGTGCTTCCACCCATTTCAAAAACATCAGCTCCCCAGACACGCGCCTTCCTTCCAGTCTTCCTAGCCCAGCCCTTCGCCTGCCCCTCACAGCACCATATTCCACCTTGTTCTGCCCATCCAAACCAGGAGCTTCCCCTTTTGCATCCTCCAGCCAGGAGCATTTGCAGCCTCCGCCCCTGTGCCACATCAAACCCCAAGCCGTCCCTTGCTTTCCAGGCTTCCCTTCTGTTGCCTTCTCCTGTTAGGAAGCTGCATTTGCTGCTTGGGGTACAGACTCTGTGGGGGTGGGGTCAAGCCCCAGTCAACATCAAACCGTTTCCTGTTCTAAATGAACCATTGCAAGGCAGGAGACCAAAGACCCAATCCAGCAGCCAATTTCTCATCTCCTCTCTCCCTCTCCCCCTGCACCTCTTCCCCCACCACCTCCGGGATTCCCAGGATGTAGGAGCACCTCCACAAACCAGGGCTTGCCCACATGGCTTTCACCCTCCATGCCGCGGGGGGGCCCTGACTCTGCCAGGCTGAGGGCACGTGGTTATTGTGCCAGGATCCCAGTGTGTTTCGCTTTTAAAAATAAATAAAAAAAAATCACCGATGTCTTTGCTTGGTGCTGCCTCGGCAAGGGGTGGAAATTAGTTGCTCTCCAACTGAGTAACTGTGTCGTGTGAATAAAAGTATTGCCAGGCCGGACCACGGTCCAGCTAGTAGCATCTCGAGCGGCGCCTGATGCTTCCGAGGACCTGGCCTCGATGGGCTGATCTTTGCTCTGCCTGGGCCTGGTTACGCGGGGCTGTAGTGCTGCATGCCTCTGTCCAAGGCCTGTCCACCAAGTGACTTGCCGGAGGGCCACCCGGGTCTCCTGAGTCCCAGCTCAGTGCTGGGTTTCCCCCGTAGCCGGAACTGCTGGGGCGGATGCTGTGAGCTGTCCCCTCCTCCACGGGCTGAGGGTTCTGCAGCGGGGAGAGAACCGGGATCTTAACCCTCTGTGCTGCTGGTGGAGGCCGAGATCCGGCCCGCGTTGGTGTAAAGCTGCAGGGCCGTGGCTGGTGTCTCCCTGACAGCTAGGTGCCAAGCGCTCTTCGCTGCACAACCCTAGATCTCTGGATCCCGGCCACTGCTGCAGAACGGCCTCGTGCAGCGTCTTGCCCTGCTTCCAAGGGCTGTCCCGATCCTGCTAGGTACCGAGCTCTCCCAGTGACCAGTGAAGGTTGAGGAGGCCCGGGCCCTCAGAGAGGGACACGCACGTTCCCCTGGCACTGGCCAGCGTCTTGCAAGTCAGGGCAGGGGCTGTTGGCAGCCCCTGCAACCCATGGTGTGAAGGAGTCGGGGGCCACGGGGGTGGGGGGTGTTTCATCATGAAGGGAACTGATGTATCCTTTTCTTCCCCTTCCCGCCGCCAGCCTGTGATCACGGAAGATTTCAGCCACTTGCCGCCAGAGCAGAGGAGGAAAAAGCTGCAGCAGAAGATGGAGGAGAGGACCCGGGAGCTGCAGAAGGAAATCGACCAGAGGTACAAGCGCGCGGTGCCTTTTGGGTGCCTCCTGTCTTTGTTCTCCTCCTCTGGTGGCGGCTCACCTGCTGGACTACATCTTCCATGAGGCTTCACGGACAGGGACTCCCACAATGCACCACCCCTCCCTGCTCCAGGCTCTTAGTCCCTGAGGGTTTATCCACAGTCTGGCCTCCTGCTGCAGTGAGTTCTGTAGATTGCGCACAATAGGGAAATGCTATTTCCACATAGTGTGTGCACTTGAACTGTAATCACTCCTTCAAATAATCATTGTACAGTGAACCCAAGCGAGATGGGCGGCCCCATTGTGCCAGGCGCTGGACGTGCATTGTGAGAGCCAGTCCCTGCCCCAGTTTGTCTACAGTCTAAATAGACCAGGGTAGGATGGGAAAACAGGAGGAGGAGAAATGATTTCCCCCAGGTCAGGGGCACAGCCAGTAATTGAAAAGAGACTAAGGGGGAGTGTGATAGAGGTCTATAAAATTGTGACTGGTGCAGAGAAAGTGACTAGGGAAGTGTTATTTACTCCTCATAACACAAGAACTAGGCAGCAGGTTTAAAACAAACAAAAGGAAGTGCTTCTTCACGCAACGCACAGTCAACCTGCGGAACTCCTTGCCAGAGGATGTTGTGAAGGCCAAAACTAAACGGGGCTCAAAAAAGAACTAGATAAGTTCCTGGAGGATAAGTCCATCCATGGCTATTAGTCAAGATGGTCAGGGATGCAACCCCATGCTCTGGGCATCCCTAGCCTCTGCTTGCTGGAAGTGGATGACAGGGGTTTAATCACTCGATAATTGCCTGTCCTGTTCACTGCCTGTGAAACATCGGGTGTTGGCCACTGTCAGAAGACCGGATACTGGGCAAGATGGACCACTGGGCTGACCCAGTGAGGCCATTCTGATGTTATGTAGCTCCTAGTCCAGTGCCCTATCTGTTAGGAAGAACTCCTTCCCCTTGTTCTCTCTATATGCAGGAGGATATAAAGGGAGGGAACCAATCAGTTTTCATCCTACAATTTGCATTCAGATCTCTTTGCCAGAAGGCAGAAGTTTTGTGTGTGCTGTCCCTTTAAATTCCTTCCCCGAACTCTTTTTCCCCCCCTCACGCTTTCCCCCCAGAGATGCCTTAAACAAGATGAAGGACGTGTACCAGAAGACGCCCCAGATGGGCGATCCCGCTAGCCTGGAGCCAAAGATCTCTGAGACCCTCAGCAACATCGAGAAGCTGCGCCTAGAAATCCAGAAGTACGAGGTAAGGGGGGAGTGCGGGGGTCACAGGGTGGGGTTACCTCTGACACGCTCCCCAGGCCCCTTTGGGAATCCACACATCTGGCTCTGCTGTCCTGCCATCTGTGGCTCCAGACACACTCGATGCCCGGTGTGTCCGGCCAGTCCTTCCTTTGAACCGGTTCAAAGTGCGGTAAAGCCATAAGGGAGGTCTTTATCGCCCTCTAGTGGCCGAACCCTGTAACAGCACCTCACTCTTCTCGAGCGCTTTTCATCTGTGGAGCTGCGTTATCCCCATGTTACTGCGGGGGAAACTGAGGCAAAACACAGGGGAAGTGACTTGCCCAGGCTGACCCAGCAGGCCAGTGTCGGAGCTGGGAATAAAACCTAGATCTCCTGAGTCCCTGGCTAAGTGTTCTATCCACTAGGCCACGCTACTCTGCATTTAAGGCCTCACCTACACTAGCAAGTGGACGCTAGGAAGCCTACTCTTAGTGTAGACGCAGTTGACGCAGCTTGTAGTGGCAGAAGAATGCTTTCGATAGGGTAGTGTCTACTGGTTCTCCAAGCGAAATAAGCGACATTGGCAATAGCATTTGTATATTGCAATAAGAATGTAAAAAATCACACCCCTAACCGATATAAATACATGGTCAAAATTGTCTGGTCCCCAGCACAATGTGCTCCAGGTCCACTCATTGTCCATTGTCTTACTGAGAGATTCTAAGTATTTTAGGTCCTTATCTGGTCCCGGTCACAGGTGCAGCTGAGCATCGCACCATTTCTAGTGTATTTATCCTCCCAGGGCAAAGCTGTTATCCCCATTGTACAGATGGGGAGACTGAGGCACAGAGAAGCTAAGTGACAGGAAGTCTGTGGCAGAGCAGGGACTTGAACCTGGGACTTAAGTCTTAGGCTAGTGCCCTATCTGCTGCACCATCCTGCTTCTGTAAGGCGTAGTGGGGTCCCACTCAGATTAGAAGCTATTTGGGGCAAGGACCAGCATCTTGTTCTGTGTTCATACAGCACCTAGCACAGTGGAGACCTAGGCCATGACTGGGGTGCCTAGGCACTATCGTAATACACCTAATAAATAATTTCAGAGTAACAGCCGTGTTAGTCTGTAGCTCACGAAAGCTTATGCTCAAATAAATTGGTTAGTCTCTAAGGTGCCACAAGTACTCCTTTTCTTTTTGCTAATAAATAATGTACAGCACCTAGCACAACGGAGACCTGGGTCATGACTGAGGCTCCTAGGCATTACCCACAATATGAATAATATCAAAAGATGAGAAAATATCTTAAACCAGGCAGAGACCCTACAAATAATGGTGTCACGACCGCATTGGTTCTTAGGTTAGGTGTCCTTATGACTCAAAGGCTGCTGGTTTGATTTATGAGCAGCTGAGTCAGACCTAAGTTATTCTGGGGTGAATCATGTGTAACCCAGTGTCCAGTATCGTTTCATTCACAGAAACAACCTGGGCCTTCAGTCGCTTCCTCTTTCTCAAGCGACGAACGTTACACTAGACAAGCCTGTTAAAAGGCTCTGCCCAGTTTCCTTATTCGCTAAGGAAGTTATTCTCAGCCACCGGTTTATTTTATGAATGAGTCGGCTGAGTTTGCATAACCTGATAAAAGCTCAGGTCGTGGCACCTTCCCCCGCCCCTTCCTCCAGTGATTCAGACCCTCTTGGGTGTGTCCTGTTCCTACAGTACATACATAGCCCATGTCTCAGCTACAGTCCCATCCTGCCCACTCCAGTATCAAACTCGCTGGGAGGCAGGACTCCTGGGTTCTATTTGCAGCTCTGGAGGAAGTGGCAGAGGCGATGCTAGCCCATTGGGGGCCCTCAACGGGAATATTTTTGGGGGGAGCCCCCCCCCATTGCCCCTCACCCACCTCCTAAAACTACGAATGGTATTTCCATAACACATACACCAACACACATAACTGATAAGCTTGTTAAATAGGGTGAATGGTATTTTGGGGGTAATACTAAAGCGGGTCCCCCGTGAGCCGTTTGGGGCCCTAAGCAGTTGCTTAGTCTGCTTACGCCTAGCACCGCCATGGAGGAATGTGGGTCTAGTGGTTAGAGCAGGGAGCCAAGATTCCTGGGTTCTGAGCTCTGATTTTGCACTACCTTACGCTGGGGGCGGGGTGGGCCGGGCAAGACAAAATATGGGGAGCCCAAAGACTGCGTGAAGCAGAACTGAGCATCGGGGTACTTGCAGCTGCTCTGGAAAAGCACCTGACTGCCTGGCCGAGGACTGGGTTTGTAGATAGTCTGAGGGCAGGGATGGGGCCAAGACCCCACGGGGGACAGCTGCTGAGGGGCATGCCTTGCCAGGGGACTAGGCCTAGGAGCAGAGAAGGAAGCCCCATGTGAATGAAGACGCTTGCCCCCGTGTGCGAGCCATCTCTGCTGTGGGGAGGCAGGAATGAAATGCTTGAACCTCTCTCTTTCTCCCCCGCGCCTCCCAGTCATGGCTGGCTGAAGCAGAGAGCAGAATGCTGAGTAACCGGCCGGACAGCATCCTGAGACAGAGCCGTCACCTGGACCACGCCACCACCCTGAGCAACAATGGCTCCCACGAGAAGGACAGGTGAGGAGGTGAAATGTCCTGCCTCCAGGAGCTAGAGGGAGCAGGCAGCCGTAATACCCAGGTGTGGGTGCTGCTGAATCCTCATCCGCATGTGTGGTTTGGGATCTCTGGGCCGGGTGCCGTCTGTCTCGCCAGGGAAGGATTTTTTTCATTGAACAGAACCCAGGAGTCCTGGCTCCTTAGCTCCCTGTTCTCATCACTAGATCCTGCACCGCTCCCGGAATGGGGATTAGAATTTAGGAGTCCTGGCTGTCAGCCCGCCACCCCCTGCTCTAACCACTAGATGACACTCCTGCTTCTGAACAGCCACACTGGACTCCCTGTGGCTGGAGCTACCCCCAGAAACAATTGCTCACTCTGTGTCATTCCCCCCTCAGCCCTGATGCCACCCACTCTGACGACAGCCAAGATGCCCTGAACCAGCCAATCTACACAGAGTTTGATGAGGACTTCGAGGAGGACCTGGCCTCGCCCATCGGCACCTGTGTGGCCATGTACCAGTTTGAAGGTACTTGCCCAAGACACTTCGGAGGCAGGGTCCCAGGTTGGACTACATCTCCCATGATTCACCAGGGTCTTGCCCCTCTTTGACTGAGAAAGCAGTGCATTATGGGAGTCTTGGGCCATGGTGCATCATGGGAAATGAAGTCCCGCTTGGGAGTTGGGCCCAGAAAGGAGAATGAGGCACACCTGAACCATGACTCCCATGAGGCATCATGGCAGCATTTCCTCATAAAAAATATTCTGCTTTTTGGGTAGTTTTTCAACAGAAAATGGACATTTCCATGGGAAGCTGTTACTTAACCTGAAAAATCTCATTTAGTCAAAAACCAGTTTTCTGCTGGAAATTTTTCAACCATCCTTTGCCAGTTCCCCCTCCCTCCACACCCCAGTGACTGGTGCGCAATGAGGATAACAGTCTTACTAGTGCTGGCTGCTAACAGAGCTCCTCCTTTAGGTCAAACAGTAGGAACCTACTGAAAGGTTTTAATACTGAAAGGCCTTGAGTTCAAACTCCGCTTAGGGGTTGGAGCCTTCACCGCCAAGCAGGCTACATCTCCAACCCCCTGTTCGGTCCACACCCCCAGGTAGGGGTTTGGCATAAGTTCCCGTCTAACTGCTGTCCACTGGAATATTTCCTGGCTAATGGGGGACAAGGAAGGGTCACTTAGGGTCTGTGTCATTCACCCATGTCTTCCAGTGGAAACTTCCAGCCCCCAGTGGCCTATTGCTGCAGGTGTGATTCCCCCAGGGCTTCTGGGAGCTCTAACATACGGGCCCTCCCATCCCTTCACAGGGATGAGGGAGGGGAACCTAGCTGAGCTCTGAAACGAGCGATTCTTCTCACCCCGTTGCCTGGATTTCCCCCACCCCCTTCCTCCCTCCCTCTCCCCCCCCCCCCCCCCGGTTCCAGCGAAGGCACCATCTCCATGACGGAGGGGGAGGAGCTGAGCCTGATGGAGGAGGACAAAGGCGACGGCTGGACCCGCGTGCGGAGGAGCAAAGGCGACGAGGGCTACGTGCCGACCTCCTACCTGCGGGTCACCCTGAACTGAGTGCGGGCCTCCCCGCCCGGCTGGAGAGCGGCAGCTGGCTCGTGGAGCTGCGGGGGGGCGGCGGGGATTGGAGCAACGCTGCTGGAGCCTGGGGGTTGGGACTCCACGGGTACAGGCTTGGAAGTGGCCCCTGGCCCTGCATAGACAAGTGGCCCTTGTGGGCAAGCAGTGGTGCCCGCTTGCAAAGCAGATCGCCTGTGAGGGGAAGGAGAACCCCCCCCCACCCCCTTCTGCCCAAGCCCCAGCTCTGTGGCATTTCGCATTTCAGCACGGCCTCTCGGTTTGCGGGGGGGAGGTCGCAGTGGGTGCTGGGGGGAGGGGTGGACTGGGTTTCTGGCTGCTGCCCCTGCATACTCCCATACTGTGCCCCCTCTGTCAGTTCCCCGTGAGTGAGTGAGTAACTCAACCTCCTCCTAAAAGCATCTGCTGCACCCTGCCCTCTCCCCTGCTCTTAAGCACCTGGGCTGTGAACCCCACATTTCCCCCAGGGGCGTGGCTGCAATAATCCCTGTGTCCACAAGGGGGTATGGTTCAGATTCCATCCCTCTATACTCGGTGGGGACATGGTTCCCATGCTACCCCCCACCCCCTCCTGGGTGGGGCTCATAGGAGCCCGTTATTATTTCCTCCTGTGGGGGGGGGCTGCATGAGGTCTCTGGGGTGAAGGGAGCTGCACCGCCTCCTGCTAGTTTAGGGCAAAGGGATCCAGGCTCAATGTGGGTGTGATGAGCAGAGCCCATTTCAGGGGGGGCTTATGGAATAGAAAGTGCATCGATTCTTCCATGTTCATCACCCTGGCATCTGGGCGTCTTCCAGGTGCATGTTAAGCAGCATGCCGAACCTCAATCCTGGGTCAGTTGTTTCCTTTCTGGGATTTGAACCCAGGACCTGTGGCTTCCTGCTTAGGCTGGCGCCAGCCCAGATGTTAATGGAACAGAGGTGCCAGCCGGCCGGGAGCCCCCGGGCCTAAACCTCTGGCCATTCTCTGCCAGGGGCTGTGGGTCTCAATTCATCTGGCCCTGGGTGGGAGCGAGTGCCCGTTGCAGCTAATGCCACCAGCTCGAGCGTTGGCCGAGCTCCAGCCCACTTCCCCTTCCGCCGCTGGGGCCACGACATGCACTTTATTCCCCAGACTCCAAAACTCGCCCAGCCAAGGGGGGAAAAATATGCATAAAGTGCCTGCTGCATAAATGAATCTGTCCTGTGGGGGGGTGATCTCGCTGGGGGGAGCCCAGGGGTCCGCGCTGCAGCCCACCCCTTGTGTGTAATTTTTTTTAGAGGACTCTAATATATTAGCCTTTTATACAGTGACCAATTACTGCTCGTTTTAGCCTATGCCTCAGTTAACCCGTAACATAAGTGTAAATGTCCCAGTGGTCTTGGCGTCTGTTCACCCTACCGGGGGGGGGGAGGGGGGCAGATCCTGTCTCCCCTCCGGTTCTGAGAAGTGGGTCTGGGGGGGGGGGTCGCTGTGCTGGAGCCCGTGGCCCCCGAGCCATAGAATGTATTTCCACTGCAGCCTGGTGCCTTTTACACTTTATGTAAATAGTTGATTTCTCTCTCTCCCTTCCCCAGTGCAGTTTTTAAGAAGTTTATAAAAACAGTACAGACTCTGTGGCCTCGGTTTGTTTCGGCCGTGGGAGGGGAGTAGAGCGGTTCGTCCATATTCCAGCGCCACCTAGCCCACCCTGCTCTTAGGGAGAGGGGCGCGGCTAGTTGGGTAGGTTACCGTCCTGTCTAGAAGCCCCCCAGCTGAGAGCAGGGCCCCATTGTGGTGGCCCGGGGACCAGGCATCCGGTCCTCGTCCTCACTAGGGCGAGGTCTACACCACACCCCCTCTGTCGATCTAGGGGGTGTGAAAAATCCACACCCCTGAGCAATGCCGTTATACCGACTTACCCCCTGTGTACACGGCGCTCTGTTGACGGGAGAGTTTCTCTCGGGGCGGAGGCTTAACTACGCCGCCGGGAGCAGCTCCCCTGGCGGGAGAGGAGCGTTTTCACTCCCGCACTACAGCGATGCAGCTGTACGGCGAAGACAAACCCGGAGGGATTCTCATACAGGTGAGGACGCTCTCGTGTGGCCGAGGCAGGGTCTAGTGTTCACAGGTGCTAGCAGGTCCAGCTACAAACTACGGAGGGGCTTAAGGTTTCCCTGAGGCTACGCCCGCTCTTCCCTGGAGCTCCGCCTTGCGTCAGTGTGTTGGCTAACGAGTTAAGGGCGCTTCTTTTTTGCTCGTGTGCTGGAGAGCCTGGATGGGGATGTGGCCCGGGAAGCGTTTAAATGCTATGTAGCTAGTTGAGGCCAGCCCCAGCTTTGGAGGGTTGTTCTGGACTACCTCGGGTGAGGTAAATTACCCTGTCTGCTAATGCGATGTACAGCCCTCTTGCGGCTACCCGGCAGTAAAAATGCATCCTGGTTTTTCAGTGAGGACAGAGCTAAGGAACGATTATCCCTGTTTTTCGCTTGGGGAAACGGAGGCACAGAGGCAGTGACAACCCCCCAGCTGCGCTGTGGTGGACCAGAACACAGGTGGCCTCACAGGGTGCTAGTGGGTTTAGAGTAGGGGGAATTGGCCACCAGGACTCCTGGGTTCCATTAGCAGGGCTAGGCCCAGGGGAGGAGGGGGACTGGGAGTCTGGACTCCTGGGTTCTATTCTCAGCTGTGGGAGGGGCATGGGCTCAAGTAGGTGTGGAGTCCTATCTTTGCCTTCCCTTGATTTTGCTGTGTGACTATCGGCCTGTCTCAGTTTCCCCGTCAGGGACGTGGTACTTTTACTTCCATTTGGAAGTTCCCAATAGTGTGTTAGAGGCAACATTTCAATTGCTAATTTCTGCTAGAGCAGAGCAGGGGGCCAGTCACACTTGTGCTGTCTCCAGCCACCCCCCTTCTTACTCCACAGTGGATGTGAGGAAGAGAGGGGGACCCCATGAAGGGAAGAGCAGTTTAGTGGAGCTGGAGTGTGCATTGGTTTACAGAGAGCAGGGGGCTTAAATTAACACCCTCACTTGGAGTGGTATGGCTTCCCCCTAGACAAGGGCTTCGCCTGAGTTCAGAGCATCCACACAGGGCTAAGCCCCCTTGTAACTACCCTCGTTTAAATTCCCAGCTTAGGCTCTCATAGGCATAACCCTCCTGGCCAGCCGCTCCTTAGGGCATTGGACGGGCACGGCCTCAGGCTGGTTCCCCTCACATGAGCATAGACTCGGGGGGGGGCACTGCCTCAAGCTGGTTCCCCTCACATGAGCATAGACTCGGGGTGGACACCACAGCCTGGCTTGGACTGTTCCCCTCTGTGGTGCATTGTCTGGTTTCATTTCCCCACTGCCCTCGGCTGAGGAGCGTGTTGGGGGACCGGGGTGGGGGTGGGGATGCTACGGGGGTCCTAGTCTAACTCCTGGCCAGCCTCTTCTAGGTCTTCACCCCTTCTGCTCCCGCTGCTGCAGAACTGGCTGCCGAACCCAGGTGTCTCCTGCTGTAACCATTAGGCAATTCTTCACCTCCGGGGCAGAGATAACAGCCTCCTTGCCATCCCCGCTCAGGGGAGCTCCCCCCATGCATTGAGGGCAGCACAAACCTGCTTCATTTCAGGGGAGAAGGGGACAGGGGCAGAGATTTTTAACTTCCTCTAAGCCTCCAGTGGTCATTCTAAGGGGGCAGGGCGTGGATCCCCCTTCAGGCTAGGGCACCCCCTGAATGGGGGTGAAGGGCCCCATGGGTGTCTACCGCCCTGCCCTGTCCTGGGAAAGACAACAGCCCTCAAGCCCCAGGCTGAGAGTTCTAGCCCCGCTCCTCCTGCACCAGTCCAACTTGCCCCAAGCTGCAACTTAGCCCCCCTCTGCCAGAGCCCCACATCGCCGCCCCTGCGTAACTGCAGCACCCCAGGGCCTGGAGCAACCCTTGCAGCCGTTACCAAAACCAGCTGGAAGGCTTTGGTTTATTCCTATTGCTACAACCACCACCCCTCCCACACACGCTTTGCTGGGAGGGGGAATCCCCCCTGCTACTTTGCTCCCTTTCACCATCTCACACCCTCCCACGCTGGCAAAGAGGCAGGGGAAGCTGCAGCTGCAGTGGCATTTTGCATTTAAAAAGCCGTGGGTGCAATGGGTCCACCAATCCTCCTCACTCCTGCAAGCTTCTGCACACGGAGCAGCCGCCTCCAGCAGCAAGGCGGGCGGGGGGGGGGCTGGTAGAATACTGCCCGGGCGTAAGCCGCTGAAATCTCTGTACCCCCCGTCCTCTGCAGAGGTGGGGCCCGGGAGGCTTTTGGGCTCGGGCTCGTTCCCCTGCCCCCATCCTGCTACCGGCACTGGCGGCCAGGCTAGGGGAGAGATCTCTGGGCAGTGGGGCGCTGTTGCTCCTCCATCCTGTCTTGGCTCTGCAAGCCATTGTTCGTGGGCTGTGCCGTGGCGGTGGAGGAAACTCAGGGCTCCGTTTTCCTCGCTGGTTCTAGTTTCTGGGACAGCACCGTGAGGATGGCGTCGAATTTCCTGTAGCGCTCGGCCCGGTCCGCGGCCGCTCCTTTGCTGCCCCAGAATAAGCGGAGCGCGAACTCGGTTTGGAAAGCTTCGAGGAGCTCCGCCGTGGCTTGGAATCCTAGCAAGAGGAGAGAAGATACCAGGGAAGGGCTGAGAGGTGCAGGAGGGCTGGGGCTCTGGCTCATTCCTTCATAGAGAATCAGAGGATCAGGGTTGGAAGGGACCTCAGGAGGTCATCTAGTCCAACCCCCTGCTCAAAGCAGGATCAATCCCCAATTTTTGCCCCAGATCCCTAAATGGCCCCCTCAAGGATTGAACTCACAACCCTGGGTTTAGCAGGCCAATGCTCAAACCACTGAGCTCTCCCTCCCCCCGCCCCTTCCTATGCTGTTTGTGTAATCGCAGGCCCGGGGACTAAGAACTGGCTTTATTGAAGGCGAGACCAAGCTCTACATCCAGTGGGGCTACTCAAACCATTTCCATCACAGCTAGGTTTGAGAATATTACTGTTTGGATCTGCCTCGGCCCTGCCTTGTGGGAGTTGCAGTGCAGTGGCCTCATCTCCACCACCACCTCTAGGGGCAGGGCTCCCTTGTTGGACTACATCTCCCATGATTCACTACAGCATCACTTCATGGTGCAGTGAAGCAATGGCATCATGGGAGTCCCAGGTCAGGGGGGCATCATGGGAGATGTAGTCCAGCTGGGGAATCCAGCCCAGAGACAACGGGGAGCATGAGGAGGTAACCGGACTACAACTCCACTGAGGCTCTGGAAAACCTTCAGCCTGCCCCAAGCTGGGCTGATAGACACAGCTCCTTGCAGCCCTACCTTGTAGCTTGGCCTCTGCGGTGGCTTTGTACGCCCCGGCGCTGGTGGCGATGGAGCGGGCGGACTCCAGCGTCCGTAAGAGGAGGTCGCAGCTCTCCTCGTGGTCGTCCCAGAGCTGCTCCCCTTCCATGAGGCTGATGAGAGGCAGGAGGTGAGGGACGGCGACCTCTCCGGGGGAGGAGTTCCCTGCAGTAGGGGGACAAGGGGTCAGAGAGCCACCTCCAAGCAGGGTCGCATATCCAGCCTGTGCCTTGGAGGCCAGGCACCCGGCGGGAGCTGGGCCGGCAACCCCAGACATGCACACCGTGGCCGCTCGAGCTGGAAGAACGCTTCAGCAGCAGCTTTTTTATCTCAGGCCCTGGTCTCTGCAAGTCTAGCCACTGGGGTTGATGTATCCGGCAACCAGGCACAGAAGAGGTCTGTCCTAATCACATCCCCCCACCCCGAAACTGCAGTGGAAGCTGCTCGGATAAATGGGCAACAGCTTCCCCCCCCGCGCCCTCCCACATGCTTCCAGCCATCACACGTCACACCTAGCGTTAGTCAGTATGGGGCCTGGGGGGGAGGGTCTAATTCTCTCCCTTCTACCTGAATGATGCTTTGCTGTTGCAGGCTGGGGCTAGAGTAAGAAGGACTGGCCATGGAGGGTGAAATGCAGCCCTGGTGTAAAGGGTGGATCCATGGCCAGCACTGAGGCTTAGTGCAGGGGATGCTGGGAGAAGAAGAGGATCGGATCCCATTTGAGACAGGAATCCTCTCCCCCGCATGGACAGAAAGAAGGGTGTCCACTCTAGCTTAGGTACTGACCTGGCACCCACCACCCTAGCAGCTGGGCACCTTGCTGTCATTAATGCATTTATCCTCACCACCCCCAGAGAGGCAGGGCTCTCATCCCCATTGTACAGATGGGGAAACTGAGGCACGGAGGGCCTATGTGATTTGTCCACCGGGATGCTGGAGCAGAGCCGGGACTTGAAGCTAGTTTTCCCTAGTCTCAGGCCAGCACTCTAACCACTGGGAAAGCCATCCTCCTGGACTGGGCCAGGGCTCTGGCATAAAAGGGTATTTGTGGGGTGGGGGGGGAAGAGCAGCACATTTAGGGGACCTGTACCATTTGGCATCAGAGGTGGGGGAAGGGGGCCTGGCTTTGAGCCAGCCCAGGCTGGTGGCACACAAACCCAGGTGAGGCCATCCGTCCATACCCCCCTGCCCCAGCCTAATTCCCACCTCTCCAGGTGTCAGCCACCCCCTGCAGCCCTCTCTTCCCGGGGCGAGATTCACCCCCATGATGCTCCCACCACGGCCCCTCCTTGCCCAGGCAGATCCCTCCCCAGCTTGTTCCATCCCCTCTCAGGTCCACGGACTGGGCACCCAGCAGGCCGTGCTTCACCTTCCCCCCGGTTGAGGCGTTTCACGAAGGGCTTGAGGTCCTTCTCGAAGGCGATGGCGCTCTCGGTGTGGGTCTGCCGCAGCTTCTGCCACGTCTGATCCAGCCGCGCAACCTGCAGAGTGGTGGGGGGGGGCAGGGACAGGAGTGAGACATTGGGGGGCGGGCTACGGTGGGTGCCATGCCTTGGGGCAAGCGTCGTGGACCAGACGCAGGCTGCTCGCCAGATGGATGGGAGTCCCGTTCCTTAGGGGTAGATCAAGGCCTCTTGGATCCCATTACGATGGAGCGACTCAAGACTGGGCCGGGCACTGCACAGACCAACTGACCAAGGTCGGGGCCACCTGGTGCCAGGTGTTGCTCAGGTGCTGGCTGAGATCGGGGGGGGTTCCCCCATGGGCTGGGTGCTGCCCAGACCCATAGGCAGTCCTTGCCCTGAACAGCTCACTGTGAACACGCACAGTGCGGGCAGGGGAAACTGAGGCCCAGAGACGAGAAGCGACTTGTCCAAGGTCACAGGTCTCCCTAGTCCATTAACACGTTACCTCCCCCTAACCCTCCCTCTCCTCCCCACTAATGGGGACCAAGGCAGTTCTGCTCCCTCCCGTCTTTTTCCCCAGGGCTCCATCCAGCCACCCAAGCTCCAGGGCTCACAGCCCACCCCGTGACGAGACAATTCCATACGCCCCTCTCTATGGGCCAGCCCGAACCGTCCCTCTCTGTCGGCCTCATCAAGGCTGCCTTACAGGCTGGGGCCAGGGCCGGCCTCCATGGGGAGCAGGAGCTAAGTTATCTGGCTAGATTGTCGGGCTCAACGGGTAGTTATCAATGGCTCCATGTCTAGTTGGCAGCCGGTATCAAGTGGAGTGCCCCAAGGGTCGGTCCTGGGGCCGGTTTTGTTCAATATCTTCATAAATGATCTGGAGGATGGTGTGGATTGCACTCTCAGCAAATTTGCGGATGATACTAAACTGGGAGGAGTGGTAGATACGCTGGAGGGGAGGGATAGGATACAGAAGGACCTAGACAAATTGGAGGATTGGGCCAAAAGAAATCTGATGAGGTTCAATAAGGATAAGTGCAGGGTCCTGCACTTAGGACGGAAGAACCCAATGCACAGCTACAGACGAGGGACCGAATGGCTAGGCAGCAGTTCTGCGGAAAAGGACCTAGGGGTGACAGTGGACGAGAAGCTGGATATGAGTCAGCAGTGTGCCCTTGTTGCCAAGAAGGCCAATGGCATTTTGGGATGTATAAGTAGGGGCATAGCGAGCAGATCGAGGGACGTGATCGTTCCCCTCTATTCGACATTGGTGAGGCCTCATCTGGAGTACTGTGTCCAGTTTTGGGCCCCACACTTCAGGAAGGATGTGGATAAATTGGAGAGAGTCCAGCGAAGGGCAACAAAAATGATTAGGGGTCTGGAACACATGACTTATGAGGAGAGGCTGAGGGAGCTGGGATTGTTTAGCCTGCAGAAGAGAAGAATGAGGGGGATTTGATAGCTGCTTTCAACTACCTGAAAGGGGGTTCCAAAGAGGATGGCTCTAGACTGTTCTCAATGGTATCAGATGACAGAACGAGGAGTAATGGTCTCAAGCTGCAGTGGGGGAGGTTTAGATTGGATATTAGGAAAAACTTTTTCACTAAGAGGGTGGTGAAACACTGGAATGCGTTACCTAGGGAGGTGGTAGAATCTCCTTCCTTAGAGGTTTTTAAGGTCAGGCTTGACAAAGCCCTGGCTGGGATGATTTAACTGGGAATTGGTCCTGCTTCGAGCAGGGGGTTGGACTAGATGACCTTCTGGGGTCCCTTCCAACCCTTATATTCTATGATTCTATGATTCTACCCCCTCCGGCTCGCCCCTCACCTGGGGCAGCTGCAGGCCCTTCATCACGGCCGACAGAGCAAACAGGTCCCCGGCCGAGCCCTTCAGCTCCACAGCCAGCTGGACGATCTTGTGCAGGGTGCCGGCTCGCTCCGCCACGCCCCCGGTGCAGCCCAGGATGTCCACCGCGATGCCCAGGGCCATGAGATGGTGCCTGGAAGGGACAGAGACACCGCAAGGGGCTGAACCCCACCGCTCGCTAGCAGGGCGGGCGGTGGGACTGCAGCTGCTCAAGGGAGGCTGGCGTTACCTGGGGCAAGCTAAGCAGGTCTGGGCTTGGGCGTGTGTTAAATGGGAGACCTGCAAGGGAAACACCCCCCTGCGTAACGTGGGGAGGGGCTCAGGAGGGGGAGTGCTCCCCGCTGAGCTCTGGTCTCCACTTAAAACATAGGTTAACCGCCTACGTGTAAGAAATTAATCCCCCCCCTTTCCCCCTATGATCTAGATAAGCCAAGCTAAGCCCCAGTGCAAACACCCTAGGGTGACAGAAGAATTCTTCCGTTGCCCTAGTTACTGCCGCTGGAGGGGGTGGCTTGGCGATGGGAAAACCCCTTCTGTCGTGCCGGGGGGGGGCCACGTTGCAGCCGTAGGGCGTGTAGCGCAGATCCTAATGCCCCAGCATGGTGCTATTGGGGTCTGCTGCAGTGAGTGGGGCTTTCAGGAGGGGGCGCTCTCCCCCTGGCAGCCAGTGCAGACCTCAGTACCACACTGCAGTGCTAGGAGGCGCTCTGCCATCTTTCACCGGAGGCCCCGAGCTTGTCTACCCAAACATTTAGTCCCCAGCAAGCTGGGGCTGGGAACTTACCCCAGCCGGCCACGCTCTAAGATCTGGTCTCCACTACACACCTATAACTCCGGCACCCAGGGGTGTGAACTGCCCCCCACCACCAGCCCCCCGGCTGATGCCCACTGGAAATGTGAGTTGATCCAGTCGTGTTTCAAAGCACATTCACAAGCTGGTACTGCACGTCGCACGTCACCTGGGTGCACAGGGACAGAGCGTGCAGGCCGGGGGGTGGGGGGGGGGTAGGCTCCCACCCTAGCTTGCCGCAAACTAAATGTTCATGCAGACGAGCCCTTAAGTGCAGTCTTAACCTATTCTGTGGTCAGTAAAGGGCTTTACCCAGCCATGTCCGGCTAAGTTTTATTCTAACTGTCCCCCGCGGCTTTCACTAGACTCCAGCTCCTCCTCCTGCCAGTGCAAATCCTGCTGAGCTGTTGCGCCACCCTCACGCCCTCACCCAGAGCCAGCCGCATTTCCACACTGCTACACTCATCCCGCAGCCTCCGTCCCCACACCCTGCTCCCCCAGGCTGGTACCTTTCCAACAGGTCCAGGCGCAGCTGGTGCCCGTGAGGCAGGGTGATCAGCTCCAGACCCGAGCTTACCCCCATCGCTTGCTGCTGCTCCCTAGGCACCCTGGTGATCCTGCCAACCTGGTGCAAGCAACAAACAAGCGCAGGGGTGAGGGCCTGAGATCTGCCGGGACAAAGGGACCCTCCTGCCGGCGGGGGGAGCGAGGTCACTGGGTCCCCCAAGGGACAGGGCCTTTTCTTATTACACTGAGAGCCCCTGGATACTCCGATCCCCCCATTCCACATTTGCTAGGGAGCGAGCAGTACCCCCAGCCAGGCTTAAGCAGGCCCATGCAAAGACCAAGGAGGGAGGGTCCCCGTCGGTCCATAAGCCACCCCCTACTCATCTCCAGGATCGCTGGGCTGCAGGGAGTAGGGATCAGTAGGGGGCGCTCTCCCCACACAGTTATGCTAGGGGGTACTGTGCTACAAAGGAGCAGGGCGGGGGGCTCAGGAGGGGGCACTCTCCCCCCACAGGCAGTGCCGACTCCAACCCGCTATAACTATGCCGATCTCCGACTTCCTGTTCTCCAGGGCTGCTTCCCACCGGAGCTATGGGGCTCCTACCCATTCCCCTTATGGTGGGGGTGGGGACAGTTCCATAGCCCCCGAGATCCCCTACCCCCCCAAGCATTCCCCCACCCCCTCAATATTTAACCCTTTCTACCCACAGGCTGCAGCTTCACTAAGCTGGCAAGGTCTCAGCTCTGGGAAGGGCCAGTGCAATGGGCCCTCTTGGAGGGGGGAGAGTCTGAGAACCACGGGTGGGGCTGGGCATGAGAGGAGAGGAGCTCTCTATGAATTGGGCTGGAGAGGTATGAGATGGGGCCACCCGCGCAGGATAACAAGCCCCCCGAGCTTCCCCCCGCGGGGGAGAGCGGAGCAGCCGCCGGGCATGGCTGGGGTACAAGTGCACAGACCCCAGTGGCCAGTTTTTACCCCCAGGGTCCGACTGCATTCCCAGGGGGTCCTGGGGTCCAGGGCTGTTAGAGGCAGGGGGTAATGCCACCCACATACCCATGCCGGTCGGGTTTAGCGTCTGGGTGCTGGGTGTCACGGGCTACCGTGGCGCTGGTAGCCCGTGATATCCAGGCCACTGATCCTGTCTGGCCTTAAATGCTATGGCTCTGTGGGGTCTTCCACAAAAAGGATCTCAAAGCCTCACAAGCAGCTCACCTCCCCGCACCCCACTGCCCTGGAGGGCACTCTCAGCCCCCTCACCATACAGATGGGGGAAACTGAGGCACAGGCCAGCGTTGCATAGTGAGTTGGCAAGAGAGCTGGGACTGGAACCCAGGAATCCTGGCACCGTGCCCCCCCCTAACTATTAGACCCCAGTCCCCTCCGAGAGCTGGGGATAGAGTCCAGGAGTCCTGGCTCCCAGCACCCTCCTGCTCTAACCACTACACCCCACTCCCCTCTCAGAGCTAGGGATAGAACCCAGGAGTCCTGGCTCCCAGCTCCCCCTTACCAGACAGTCCATGTAGAGGACATGCAGGGCCATGGTCCGGCAGTCATGCCGGGTGAAGAGGTCCTTGAGCCGTTTGAGGGCGCCGGGCTCCAGGGGCTTGTTGTCGGGGGGCAGGAGGAGCGAGGGGAAGCTGTGGGGCTGGAAGGAGGAGGCTGTCTCCAGTAGGGGGCGCACAAAGTCCTCCTCGTAGTGGCGTGGCCGGGGGAGCGGCACCCCCTCATCCTCGAGGAAGCCAAAGGCTGTGTCCGTGGCCCGGGCCCGGCCACGCCACTTCTCCTCGGTGTGCAGCCGAGCCACGTGGCTCCGCAGGCCGGCCGGGGCTTTGGGCACCAGCTCGCAGTAGGTGCTGGGCTGCTCCTGGGGGGCGTCGCCCACCAGCATGGAAGGGGCCCGCAGGGGCTTGGGGGGAGCCCTGGAGTGCAGCTGCCCCTCCGAGCCGCTCAGGGCTGCACCCCCCTCGGGGTCCAGGCACCGGGGGGCCGGGGGCCGCAGCACGGGGTCGCTGCCAGTGCGGAAGACGGGTGAGGGGGGCGGGAGCTTGCTCCATTCCTGGGTGCCGGCTGGAGCTTCCGGGCTGCCTGCAGAAGGAGACGGGACCATGTCAGAGCGGGGAGCGGAGCAGCCGGACACATGGTTCCCACAGAGCCTGGTTCTGATCTCAGCCAGGACTGGTGTGAATCCGGAGTCGCTCCCAAAGGGACAGGGGAGTTACACTGGCGTGAAAGCAGCGGGGTGGCAATCAGAGCGATGGTGATATGTAGCAGGGCCAGATCCCCAGCTGGCAGAAATGGGCATTGGAGTCAATGGAGAGATGCAAATTTACACCAGCTTGAGGATCTGGCTTATAAGGAGTCCGTTATTTGGTGTATTACGGTAATGCCTGGGAGCCCTTGTCATGGTCCAGAACCCTGTTGTGCTAGGAACTGTACATTATCTATTAGATGTATTATGGTAGTGTCTAGGCGCCCTGCTCGTGGACCAGGAGTGTGCTAGGCGCTGTACATTATACATAAGAACAGCCACACTGGGTCAGACCAAAGGTCAATCTATCCCAGTATCCTGTCTTCTGACAGCGGCCAATGCCAGGTGCCCCAGAGGGAATGCCCCAGAACAGGGAATCATCACATGATCCATCCCCGGTCGCCCATTCCCAGCTTCTGGCAAACAGAGGCTAGGGACACCATCCCTGCCCATCCCGGCTAATAGCCATTGATGGACCTACCCTCCATGAACTTATCTAGTTCTTTTTTTAACCCTGTTATAGTCTTGGCCTTCACACCATCCTCCGGCAAGGAGTTCCACAGGTTAACTGTGTGTTGTGTGAAAAAATACTTCCTTTTGTTTGTTTTAAACCTTCTGCATATTAAGGCATCTAATAGATGCATTATGGTAGCACCTAGGAGCCCCGCTAATGGACCAGGAGCGTGCTAGGCACTGTACATTATCTATTAGGTGCATTACGGAACCACCTGGGAGCATTGCACTAGGGGGCTGCACAAATCCTGTTACACCGGCGTAAATCCAGAGGAACTGCATTGAAGGTAGCAGCCAAACCAACCCCTGCCCTGTACCCCCCCAAGTGGTGGAAGGGGTTAATACCCCTCCCCCCAGTGGAGGCAGCCTTTGCCCTCCAGCCCCAGCTCCCACGCACCTGTCCGCAGGTTACTGTCTGACTGTGCCGTGTAGAGCAGGGGGCGCCGGCCCAGCTGATCCAGCCCGGTGGGCTGGCTCCCGCTTTTGTCTTTCACCCTGCAGGGAGAAGTGGCGACACTGTGAGCCCCAGGCCGCTGCAGACCCCCAAGCTGCAAAGGACCCACGCCCAGAATGAAGGGGATGCCGGAGTAATGTGCCCAGCTGTTGGATCGGGGATCCTGCCCTCCGTGCCAGGGCTGGGCTGCTTCATGGAACGTGATCATTCGTGGGGAAGCCAGTTTGGAGCCCGAGTCACTCGTGTGAGTCATGCACGGCACCAGGGACCGGCCTTTCAGACCCAGCCCACAGCGCGGGGGGGCAGTTTGGCAGACACAGGGTTAATAATGAGGGCAGCCCCTATCCCCCTGGGTTCGGAAAGCACTTAGCAAGGAATTTAGCATCACAACCCATCTCCAGGTGAGAAGATCAGAAGACCCACTTCACTGATGGGAAAACTGAGGCAAGGAAAGGGGAACGGGCTTCCCCCGAGGTCACATTGTGACTCTATGGTACAGCGGGAATAGAACCCAGGAGTCCTGACTCCGAGTCCTCCCTGCTCAAACCCACAACCCCCCCCCCCCACTCCCCTCCCAGGGCTGGGAACCGAACCCAGGCGTCCTGACTCCCTGCCCTTCCCTGGCTCTAACCACTAGACCCCACCTCCCTCCTGAAATTGAGCGGAGAACCCAGGAGTCCGGACTCCCAGCCCCAGCTCTAACCAGCGCCATTTCCCATCCCAGCGCTCACCGGAGCAGGTTCCCCTCTGTCGGCATCTCCCCAGCGGTGAGTCTGTGGCGGCCGAGTCTGTGGGCAGGAGCCACGTCCCCCTCAGCCGGCTCCTGCTTGTCCAGACGGGGCTGGCCGGTGGCCCCGTAGCGCTCTTGCAGCCAGCGCAGCGGCACATCCCGGTTGACGGGCCGAGAGACCACGGCGCCCGAGGTCTCCGAGATGGGCTTGCAGTTGCCCACGTAGAAGCGCACCAGGGCCGGCACGTTGTCAAACTGGTCCTGCTCGAACTGGAAGAGGGTGCGGGAGTAGCCCTGGCGAGGGCGCAGCACCACCCGGATGATCTTGAAGTGCAGGGTCTCGCCCCGCCAGCGGCAGGACAGCACATAGTCCCCCTGGCTGGAGCCTGAGTCCCGGATCAGGAAATCCCCGTCCTCCCCCAGCAGGGACTCGGCCTCCTGGGGAGACAAGGGCTGTTCATTGGTGGGGATGGCAGGCAGCGGGACTAGTGGTTAGAGCGGGGGGGGGCTGGGAGTCAGGACTCCTGGGTTCCTTTTCTGGCTCTGGGAGGGGAGCGGGGTCTAGTGGTTAGAGCGGGGGCAGGGAGACAGGACTCCTGGGTTTCATTCCTGGCTCTGGGAGGGGAGTGGGGTCTAGTGGTTAGAGCAGGGGCTGGGAGACAGGACTCCTGGGTTTCATTCCTGGCTCTGGGAGGGGAGTGGGGTCTAGTGGTTAGAGCAGGGGCTGGGAGACAGGACTCCTGGGTTCCTTTTCTGGCTCTGGGAGGGGAGCGGGGTCTAGTGGTTAGAGCAGGGGCTGGGAGACAGGACTCCTGGGTTTCATTCCTGGCTCTGGGAGGGGAGTGGGGTCTAGTGGTTAGAGCGGGGGGGTGCTGGGAGTCAGGACTCCTGCTTTCCATTTCTGGCTCTGGGAGGGGAGTGGGGTCTAGTGGTTAGAGCGGGGGGGAGAGGGGGCTGGGAGTCAGGACTCCTGGGATCCATCCCTGGCTCTGTCACTGACTTTCTGTGTGACCTTGGCCAAGTCACTTCCCCTCCCTGCACTTCTGGGTCCCCCTCCGTAAACCAGGGATACCGAGCCTCCTGGGCTGGTGGGACTGAGCTCCATGGGATCTATGCCGCAGCCAGGGCAATGGGGCCTGACCTCAGCTGGGGCCTCTGGGCACTACCATAATACGCCTAATAGATCGGAATCGTGGGTACCTCCCGTGGCAGGCAGCCGTGGTACCACGCGTGGCTCCGCAGCTCCTCCGTGCTGAGCTTCAGCTCTTCCTCCAGCTCCTTCCTGAGCTTCTCCTTGGCCAACTCCATGGTCACCTCTGCGTAGGCCTCCTGGGCGGCAAAGGGTCACAGGTCAGCAGCAACATCTTCCTCCCAGCAACTGGTTTAGTGCCCCCCCCCCGCCCCCCGGACTCTGACCTCCCGGCCCATCCCCCCCAGACCCACGCAGCCTGATCTCTCCCAGCCTCTGACCTCAGGACAGGGCAGTGTCATAGAATCACAGACTATCCGGGTTGGAAGGGACCACAGGAGGTCATCGAGTCCCACCCCCTGCATGTCCATGCCCCCGTTGAGATCAGGGCCCCGCTGTGCCGGACGCTGCAGACAACGAGAAATAGACAAAATGGTAAAATGCAGGATACCAATCCTTCCTCTCGCTGTGTCTCTTTAGTCTGTGAGCTCTTCAGGGCAGAGACGCTCTTCAGGGCTGAGCAGCACCCGGCATGGCCGGGGCACCCCCAATCTCAACTGGGGCCTGCACAGCACCCAGCCCGATGGCAGGGGGAGCCGATCCCGATCGGGGCCTCTAGACCAGGGGTTCTCAACTTTTTCCTTTGTGAGGCCTCCCCAACATGCTATAAAAACTCCACGCCCCCCCCCGTGCCACAGTAACTGGTTTCCTGAGAACCACGGCTCTAGAACCTACTGTCAGATCACCACTAAGGTTGCGGTTGGCGCCCGGGATGGCTGTGCAAAGAGGGGGAAGACGAGGGGAAGACGATAAGACGGGGGGAGTGGAAAGAGCAAAGTGCCAAAAGCAGCCATGGCATGTAACCCTCTCCGATCCCTTTACCCAGCGAGGAGCCTGGCTGTTCACCCGGACCCGGAGGAGTCTAGTCCTCAGGATCAGATCCTCCTGTCCCAACGGTGGCTCCTCCGGACTGCCTGCTCGGGGCGGTTCCTTCCGGTTCACGCAGCTCCTTGCCTAGGCAGGTTATCAGACGCCGAGCACACCTTGGGATGCCTGGGCTCTGAGTCAGCGGCACTGGGAGCCCGCCAGCAGCCCGTGACCCTGGCAGGCCGGAAGGGTTCCAGCCCAGCGAGCGGGCCCCGTGGTGCAGCTCCAACCGGCTGGCGTGCAAGAGCTCTCAGCACAGGGGACGGGGCCGTTCGATACAAGTCTGCGCTCCTGCTTACGGAGGAGAGGGAGAGGGCACTGCAGGAGCTGGGGGTTTGCCCTGCAGCCAGCGTGCGCCCCACAAGGTCACTGCACCCTGGTTGCGTGTGTGCCTCAGTTTCCCCTCCTCCTTCACCGTGGTGGCACTCAGAGACCATGGCAACTGGGAACAGAATGCAGGAGTCCTACTCCCCAGCCCGCCTGGCGCTCCCCTTCCAGAGCTAGGACTCCTGGGTTCTAATCCAGTCTCCCCACCGACCACTACACCCCGCTGCCCTCCCAGAGCCTGGTTAATTCATCTTACTGAACAGAAAACAGTCACCTTCAGCCCTTGGATCCAGGATCCCCACGTCCGTCTAGTCCTTTCCTAGGGCTTCGGTCACCCTCGGATCAGGACCCCCTGCTAGCCTTGCTGCTGGACTCCTGCCCCTGCTCCTGCTGTGACTTCCCCCAGCCCCCACAAGCACCCCGTCTCCTCCACCCACCCCGGACACCCAGCCTCTTCTACTTACAGAGACCCCCAATAAGTCACATGACTCTTCACAGCTGTGGTCCCTCCAGTTAGGGGCTGCACCTTGGGGCTCCCAGTCCCTGCTGGGAGGGGCTGGGACTGGAGTGGCCTGGAGCACATCCCACAGCCAGCGCTCCTGCCCCGCTCCCCACAGCACCCCCTGCTGGGAGAGACTGGGACTGGAGTAGCCAGGAGCTCCCGCGACAGCCAGCGCTCCTGCCCCGCTCCCCACAGCGCCCCCTGCTGGGAGAGGCCGGGGCTGGGGTAGCCAGGAGCTCCCACGACAGCCAGCGCTCCTGCCCCGCTCCCCACAGCGCCCCCTGCTGGGAGAGGCCAGGGCTGGGGTAGCCAGGAGCTCCCGCGACAGCCAGCGCTCCTGCCCCGCTCCCCACAGCGCCCCCTGCTGGGGGAGGCCAGGGCTGGGGTAGCCAGGAGCTCCCGCGACAGCCAGCGCTCCTGCCCCGCTCCCCACAGCACCCCCTGCTGGGAGAGGCCAGGGCTGGGGTAGCCAGGGCTCCCGCGACAGCCAGCGCTCCTGCCCCCTCCCCACACGCCCCCTGCTGGGGAGGCCAGGGCTGGGGTAGCCAGGGCTCCCCGACAGCCAGCGCTCCTGCCCCGCTCCCCACCACCCCTGCTGGGGGGCCAGGCTGGGTAGCCAGGAGCTCCCGCGACAGCCAGCGCTCCTGCCCCGCTCCCCACAGCACCCCCTGCTGGGAGAGGCCAGGGCTGGGGTAGCCTACATTTCCTACCGTGGTACTTCTACAACAGAGGCAACAGAGGGATCCCAAACTCGGTGGGTCACTGAGACTCTGAGCTCTCGGTGCCACCACCACATGGCTCACCCAGCCCCTTTGGCCCCAAACACCGTCCTTCCCTGTGGCCTGGGTGCGTCTCCACGACGGGAACCCTAGAGCAGTGGTTCTCAACTCGGGGGGCTGCGACCCGGTTTCAGCAGGTCCCGCCAAAACAAACCAGAGCGGGGCCGGCGTTCAACTGGCTGGGGCCCAGGGCAGGAAGCCCAAGCCCGAGCCCCACCACCTGGGGCTGAAGCCGAAGCCCGAGCAACTTAGCGTCACGGGGGCTCCCCTGTGGGGCGTGGGGCCCCGGGCAATTGCCCTGCTTGCTGCCCTCTGACCTCCGCCCTGGCTTTTAATCTACCGGATATGCAGAAAAACCCTTGTGACGCAGGTGGGCCGTGGAATTTGTATAGCATGGGGCAGGGGGAGAGGGGAAGGGGGCTCGGAAAGAAAAAGCTTGAGAACCCCTGTCTAGACTTAGCGCATCTGTGCACCCGCAGGTACCACAACCAAGCCGGACGGACGCTCTGCCCCCTTTAGACGACATCAGACAGCCGCCAACTGGGATTCTGGTCTGAAGCCTCCTCGCAGGGGACTAGGCGCCCGCAAAGCCTGCTTGCTTCGAATGCAATTAACAAGGACTGGCCCATCCGGCACAAGGATGCTGCTGGGCGAAAGAGGAGCGATTGCAGTTTAACCCGCTTCCTCGGCCCAACAAGCTAGAGGCCCAAAATGATCAGGGCATGGGGACATGCCCAGATGACCCCGGCAGGTAATCCACGCTCCGTGCTGCAGAAGGTGGCAAATCCCGTCACTTCCCAGGTCCCTGCCAATCCAGGGCAGGGGGGGAATTCCTGCCCGACCTCAGATCTGGCCAGCAGTTTGACCCTGAGCAGGTGAGCAAGACCCACCAGCCAGACATCTCTGGACCTCCTCAGAGCACCGGTCCCCGTGGTGTCCCATCTCCAGCTGTGGGGTGCTGCAGCATGGGCCACCCGCCCCAGCTCTGGCATCAGAAAAGCTCTACCTCCAACCCTGATCCCACTCAGTGGGCATTCTGCAGCTGATGGCAACAGGTCTAGGATCAGGCCCTGGAGACCTAAAGGACGGTGACTCACCCCCTGGGCCGTCATCCTGCAGATGCCAGGATGCTCTGCCCCCCTGAATCTTGACACTGGGTTCCCACAGGAGGGACACAAGCCCATGTGGAACAGGGCTCAGACCCACCCCTTCATTCAACACAGGTGCTGCTGAGCTGCCAAGGGTGGGCACCAGCTGCTACAGACCTGCGCTGGAATCAGAGAGGAAAAGGCTCCAAGAGGAATGATGTTCCAATAATTTGGGCCCTAGCCTAGGACTTGGGAGACCCACGTTCTAATCCCTGCTCTGCCACAGACTCCCAGGGTGACCTTCGGCAAGTCACGTAGCCTCCCTGAGCCTCAGTTTCCCCATTTGTACAATGGGGGTACCAGCAGTGTCCTGCCTCAGATGAAGAGTTGGGAGGATAAATATATTAAAGCCGGTGAAGGGCTTTGAGATCTGCTTGTGAAAAGCACCGTGTTAGAGCTCTGATTATATCCCCTGCTCAGCCAGCCAGCCCTCTGCTTTTTTCCTTTGATCTTTGCAGCAGAGCTCCCAAGACAAAATTCCTGCCAAGGTCAGGGACAGGCCCCCGTCTACAGAAGGGCTGAGCCCCCTACACCAGAGCCAGCCAGTGCAGCTTCCCAGCTCTGTAAATCACAAGCCCAGATCTGACATGACCTCCCCCGTGGCTAATTCCCCCTCACTGTTAAAAATGTGATTCTTATTTGCAGCATGAATTTGTCTGGCCTCAGCTTCCAGCCGCTGCATCTCTTCCTGCTAAATGTCAGAGCTGCCTAGCATAGGTGCTTCTAAGCTGTGATCAAGTCACCTCTTAACGGAAACAAATCAGGCTGCTTAATTCTCTCAGAGTCAGGCCGGTTTGAAAAAAGAAAAGGAGGACTTGTGGCACCTTAGAGACTAACCAATTTATTTGAGCATGAGCTTTCGTGAGCTACAGCTCACTTCATCGGATGCATACTCCTTTTCTTTTTGCGAATACAGACTAACACGGCTGTTACTCTGAGGCCGGTTTGAATCACTCTGATCAAGGGATACAAGAATCTACGACGTACAGGCAACTCCGGGGCCTCACGTGGGGGGATGCCCAGTCTGACGGGGCATCCAACCCGCTAGGACCATTCACCACTGGGTCTCCACCCTCCAGGGCTCACGCCAACCCCCCGCAGAGATGCTTCCTCCTAAAAGGGGATGAGATTCAGATCAAAAGCCCTCTGGGAAGAAACTGAATGGCGAGTCAAGTGAGATGAAAGAAGGGGCGGCTCCCAAGCTCTTGGGCCCAGACCCGGAGCCTTCATCAGCAAAGAATTAAAGAGACAGATAAAAAATCACAGGGAGATGATGACACATGCTGGGCCTGATCTTTATCCGTGGGGCAGACCAAATAAGCAGCTAAGCCAGGTGCGTGCACCAGCCAAGCTCCACGGAGAATGGGGAGACGCAGGGTCGGGCTCTGGCCTCGGCTAGGGTGGTGTAAATCCAGAGTCACTTCAGTGACATCCCCGGATTGACACTATTGTCTGGATCTAATGCAACAGGGACCTGGGGGGGGGGGGGGTCCTGGAGGGGATACCAGGCTGGCTGTGACAGCTCAGACCAATGGGCCCATCAAGGGTGAGGCAATACTGAGCTAGATGGGTCCATGGAACTGATCCAGGATGGGGCGGGCAGAATACTGAGCTAGATGGTCCCATTGGCCTGACCTGGCACCATGGTGTGGGTGGGGAGGGAGGAGGCGGGATACCGGGCTAGATGGGCCCATTGGCCTGATCCTGCAGGACAGTCCCTGAGTCCTGGCCCCTGAACTCCATGGCACTAGGTGAGCGGCAATGCAGGGGCCTGGTAATGCTGTAGTTTTCCTGGCTCTCACCACCCTTCTAATCCCCCAGCGCAGCCCCACTGGACGGGAGCTGCACGCCTGGCTCAGGACATGGAAACCCTGGCCCTGTGGCTCCATCCCTGGGAATCCAAACACAAAGGGCTGGGCGGCCACACAATGGGGAGGAAATCCTCCACCCTGGCGTGCTTCCCCCCCCCCGGCCATTGCAGGCCCGGTTTGCTGGAACAGCACCAGCGCTGAGGCAGGCTCAGGGATTGGATCCTCCTCCCACACTCCCTGGGGAACTCAGCCGGTGTAAATCAGCCACGACTTCAAAGGAGCAGAGCCAGTTTACACCAGCCGGGGATCTGGCCCCATCAACTCCCGCGGAGCAACGCCCATCTACCCGGGGCCCAAAAGGAAAACTGGCAAAGGGAACGGACACCAACGACTGGACGACCGCCGGGGAAGGAAGCCGGTCACCCGAAATAAGTGACGTGACATGTGTATTTGTTCCGATCAGCCACGGCCCACCGCCACCAGTGAAGCCTGTGGGACTCACCTCTGCCAGGGCTCGGTGGGCACCGCGGGCCACCTGACCACAGCATAGGCAGGACACATGCTGGCCACGTGCTGATTTCAGATACCCCAGGGTAAATCCAGGGTCCCCCTCCGACTGCCACGGGGTCGGGGCTGAACCAGCCCCTACACCCCCCAATTGTCTTGCCCGCAGACAGATCATCGCGCAGCCAAAGCCCCTTTTCCAAGGGCTAGATAAGGGGGGTTGTGCTTTTAAGCCAGCTGTAGGGTGTGTGTGTGTGTTTGTGTGTGTGTTGGGGGGTAACCAACAAACAAAGGGTGTTGGGGTGTGGGCAGGGTATGCAGGGGATTTAGGGAGAGCTCCAGTCTCTCTGGGGAAACAGTCTGAAAAATGGCGGTGGGGAACAGAGATAAGATTCCCCCTAGGCTCCAAGGGGTGGGGGAGAAGGTCTTTGCTAACATACTCCCCGCAAACAAATCTCCTCCCACCCCTGTAACTGGGTACCCCATCAGGGCAGGAGCCAGTGGGAACGTCTCCCATGTCACTGCCAGGGCAGGGGTCCCCAGAGTAGATTCCCCCCTCCCAGATCCTGGCCACCTCTTATTGGGCTGCATCCCCTCCAGATCTCCCCTCAAGGCCCTGGATAGCTGCCCTCCATCCTGGCCACCTCCTATAGGGTAGGGCTCCCCCCGCCAGATCTCACCTCCAGGACACCCCCGCCATCTGGATCTCCTCCTATGCGCAAGGTCCCCTCCCCCCGCACCTCACCTCCCGGGCAGTCCCCCACCCCGATCTGGCTCCTTTCCTTTCCTATAGGGCAGGGCACCCACCCAGATCTCACCTCCAGGATACACCCCCCCCCGATTCTAGCCGCTCCCCCAAACAGAAGCAACGGGTCCCCTGCAGCCCCCCCGCAGGGCTCCCCCTTCCTGGCCACCCCCAGCCAGGGCAGGCGCAGGGGTGGGTGTCCAATGTCTCTCCCGTACCTGAGCGGTTGGGGCGCAGCGCTGCGCTTGGGGGTCCCGTGCGCGGCTCCGGCTCCCTCCAGCCCCGGCAGGTCCCCGCCAGCCCCGGGCTCGCCGCTCTCCCCATTCCGCACATTCCAGCGCCCGGCAGCGGCTCCGCCCAGGGCCCGGACCCACCCCCGAGAGCAGCGGAGCCCGGGAGCAGGCAGGGGCGCCGGAGCCGGGGGGGGTTGCGAGCCTGTGGGTGTGGGCGGGGCTGCGTGCAACGGTGAGGGGCTGTGGGGGTGACGATGTGAGGTGGGGAACGCTTGTGAGTCTGGGAGTGAGGTGGAGTGTACCCCTGTGGCTGTGAGTTGGGTTGTGTGTTCTGGGTGTGAGTTTGAGTGTGTCCCTGTGAGTTGGGTTGTGTGTTCTGGGTGTGAGTTTGAGTGTATCCCTGTGAGTTGGGTTGTGTGTTCTGGGTGTGACAGTGGGTGTGAGTTTGAATGTATCTGTGTGACTGTGAGTTTGGTTGTGTGTTCTGGGTGTGGGTTTGAGTGTATCCCTGTGAGTTGGGTTGTGTGTTCTGGGTGTGACAGTGGGTGTGAGTTTGAATGTATCTGTGTGACTGTGAGTTTGGTTGTGTGTTCTGGGTGTGGGTTTGAGTGTATCCCTGTGAGTTGGGTTGTGTGTTCTGGGTGTGAGTTTGAGTGTATCCCTGTGAGTTGGGTTGTGTGTTCTGGGTGTGAGTTTGAGTGTATCTCTGGGACTGTGAGTTTGTGTTGCTGAGTCTGGTGTATTATGGGTGTGTTAGTGGGTGTGAGTCTGAATGTATCTGTGTGACTGTGAGTTGGGTTGTGTGTTCTGGGTGTGAGTTTGAGTGTATCCCTGTGAGTTGGGTTGTGTGTTCTGGGTGTGACAGTGGGTGTGAGTTTGAATGTATCTGTGTGACTGTGAGTTTGGTTGTGTGTTCTGGGTGTGAGTTTGAGTGTATCCCTGTGAGTTGGGTTGTGTGTTCTGGGTGTGAGTTTGAGTGTATCCCTGTGAGTTGGGTTGTGTGTTCTGGGTGTGACAGTGGGTGTGAGTCTGAATGTATCTGTGTGACTGTGAGTTTGGTTGTGTGTTCTGGGTGTGAGTTTGAGTGTATCCCTGTGAGTTGGGTTGTGTGTTCTGGGTGTGACAGTGGGTGTGAGTTTGAATGTATCTGTGTGACTGTGAGTTTGGTTGTGTGTTCTGGGTGTGGGTTTGAGTGTATCCCTGTGAGTTGGGTTGTGTGTTCTGGGTGTGAGTTTGAGTGTATCTCTGGGACTGTGAGTTTGTGTTGCTGAGTCTGGTGTATTATGGGTGTGTTAGTGGGTGTGAGTCTGAATGTATCTGTGTGACTGTGAGTTTGGTTGTGTGTTCTGGGTGTGAGTTTGAGTGTATCCCTGTGAGTTGGGTTGTGTGTTCTGGGTGTGAGTTTGAGTGTATCCCTGTGAGTTGGGTTGTGTGTTCTGGGTGTGACAGTGGGTGTGAGTTTGAATGTATCTGTGTGACTGTGAGTTTGGTTGTGTGTTCTGGGTGTGAGTTTGAGTGTATCCCTGTGAGTTGGGTTGTGTGTTCTGGGTGTGAGTTTGAGTGTATCCCTGTGAGTTGGGTTGTGTGTTCTGGGTGTGACAGTGGGTGTGAGTCTGAATGTATCTGTGTGACTGTGAGTTTGGTTGTGTGTTCTGGGTGTGAGTTTGAGTGTATCCCTGTGAGTTGGGTTGTGTGTTCTGGGTGTGACAGTGGGTGTGAGTTTGAATGTATCTATGTGACTGTGAGTTTGGTTGTGTGTTCTGGGTGTGAGTTTGAGTGTATCTCTGTGACTGTGAGTTTGTGTTGCTGAGTCTGGTGTATTATGGGTGTGTTAGTGGGTGTGAGTCTGAATGTATCTGTGTGACCGAGTTGGTGAGTCGGGTTGTGTATTCTGGGGGTGATAGTGGGTGTAAGTTTGAGAGCATCTCTGTGACTGTGAGAAAGTGAGTCTGGTTGTGTGTTTTGGGTGTGATTGGAGTGTATGTGACTGAGTTTGTGCGTCGCTGAGTTGGATTGTGTATTCTGGGTGTGTTAGTGAGTGTGAGATTGAATGTATCTGTGTGATGGTGAGTTGGGTTTTGTGTTTTGGATGTGATAGTGGGTGTGAGTTTGAGTGTGTCTCTGTGACTGAGATGGTGAGTCTGGTTGTGTGTTTTGGGTGTGAGTTTGAAGAGTATGAGTGTGAGCTGGTATGTCTGCGAGTCTGACTGATCTCTGGGTGTACATTGTTGTAATGGCACGTTCGCGTCCTCGGGTAGGCTTGTGGGTGTCAGCTGGGTTGTCTTTGTGAGTCTGTGTTTCGAGTGTGCCTGGGTGCTAGTGTGTTTGTGTAGCCTTGAAGGTGTGAGAAGTGTGTTTGGGAGCCTGCGTGATTATGAGTTATTGTGAGTCCGATTGTGGAGGGGCAGCTGGTGTGGGTGTGATGGGGGGTGAGGGTGTAAGCAGAGCCACGGCGAGGGTTGCTGTTTGTGCGGTAGATGTGACCACTCCTCTGCGGCACAGCGCCCCCTATCACCAGGCTATGGGATTGGGATCGGAACTGATTCAGAGGGGAGAGCGCCCCCTACTGAGTCATCACCCCGCTCCCTGGAGCACAGCGCCCCCTATCACCGGGCTATGGGATTGGGATCGGAACTGATTCAGAGGGGAGAGCGCCCCCTACTGAGTCATCACCCCGCTCCCTGGAGCACAGCGCCCCCTGCCACCAGGCTATGGGATTGGGATCGGAACTGATTCAGAGGGGAGAGCGCCCCCTACTGAGTCATCACCCCGCTCCCTGGAGCACAGCGCCCCCTGCCACCAGGCTATGGGATTGGGATCGGAACTGATTCAGAGGGGAGTGCCCCCTACTGAGTCATCACCCCGCCCCTGGAGCACAGCGCCCCCTATCACCGGGCTATGGGATTGGGATCGGAACTGATTCAGAGGGGAGGCGCCCCCTACTGAGTCATCACCCCGCTCCCTGAGCACAGCGCCCCCTGCCACCAGGCTATGGGATTGGGATCGGAACTGATTCAGAGGGGAGGCGCCCCCTACTGAGTCATCACCCCGCTCCCTGGAGCACAGCGCCCCCTATCACCGGGCTATGGGATTGGGATCGGAACTGATTCAGAGGGGAGAGCGCCCCCTACTGAGTCATCACCCCGCTCCCTGGAGCACAGCGCCCCCTGCCACCAGGCTATGGGATTGGGATCGGAACTGATTCAGAGGGGAGAGCCCTCTTGAATAAGCCAGCCAGCCACCCACTCTGCTCCCTGCAGCACAGCGCCCCCTAGTGCTGCCCTGGGGTAGTGGGGCCAGCGCTGATTCGGAACGGAGAGCGCCCCCTTCGGAACCACCCTCACCACTCTCTTTAGTGCAAGGTTCCCCATCCCAGGTCGGATCCAGCCCGACCTCGCTTGAGGGATTAGATCGCGGCCTTATAAAAGACTTTTCCCTTATAAAAGACTGTGGAAGTAGGAGCCCAGCAAGGATTGAAGCAGGAACAACGGGCCAGATGGCTGGTGGCAGCTGGGGCTGGAAGGAGTGGGTTGACTTTTCCAACGAGTTTCTTGGACAGGTGGTGGGTACTTGCTGACAGCTTTCCCCGCTGTTACCATGACTGTGTCAGCCTGGAACAGAGCTGAGGCTGAGAGAAGCTGGCTGACTCTCATCTCAGCAGCACCGTGTCCGGGGCCATGAGTAATCTCTGCGTCGGGAAGGATGATGCTGTCACTATTAGGTCACCCGGGGGCTGCAATCACCAGCCTTGACCTGGGGACCAACTCCCTAGCTGGTGTAAATCAGCTGAACTCCAGGGAGTTCAATGGTGCACTTACACACAGTCCCCACCCCCAAGGGCTCCCCTTCCAAACAGACAAAGGGAGGGGAAACTGAGGCACAGAGAGGGGCATGACTTTCTCAAGGCCACCTGGCAGGACAGCGGGAGAGGCGGGATTAGAACCCAGAGGTTCTCAGTCCCTAGCCCATGCCCTAGCCACTAGACCCCACTGCCTCTCACATGCCAGAGTATGTTGTTGTTTATTAAATTTTTAAACAGTAAACAGTAGCACAGAGAGCTGCAGCTGTGCTAGGTGCTGACAAACATAGAAAATGTCAGGTCCACTCCGAGGGGCTTCTGAGTCAAGTAGACAAAGCAGAAAAGAAAGGGGAAGAGTGGTCCAGTGGTTAGAGCACTAGCCTGGGGTTTAAGGCAGACCAGGTTCAATTCCTTGCTCTGTCACAGGCTTTGTCTGCAGCCCTGGCAAAGTTGCTTCCACTCTCCCCTTTTTCTATAGACAGAGTGTATGTGTGACTGTGCCTCGGTTTCCCCAACTGTGAAACTGACATAAAATCCCTTTCCTGCCTCATGTATGGTGAGGTATATGGTAATAGGGTGGGTGAGACAAATGAGACGGTGGGGGTGGGGGCCAGGGAAGTTGGTTTTACAGGAAGAATTGGATGGGCCCGATCCTTGGCCAAACAGGAGCAGTGGTTGCAGCATGCCTAGCTTGTTATCAGGTGCAGCATGGCAGATGTGAGCGATGAGGAGTTTCACAGATTTTGAACTGGAGCTTTGGCACTGGGAGTCTCCACTGCTACTGTGGTGACTCAGAAACCTACCTTCCTTGCAGGTGCTCTGATGGGGAACTCTGAGCTGGGTGACTGGGCAGGAAATGACCTGGCATTGAGGTTGGTTTAACTCAGCTCCAAACCCACGACCACAAATGTGGTGACTTGATCAGGCTGGGTAAGTACTCCCACAGGCAGCACAGAAGCTGACGGCTGGACAGGAAGGCTGGACACGTTCCAGTTAGAAACTAGGGCAGGTATTTTTAAAAGTGAGGGTGAATAGCCATTGGAACAGACTACCAAGGGAAGGGGCAGCTTCTCCATCTCTGATGTCTTCGGATCCAGAGTGGATGCTTTTCCAGAAAACATGCTTGAGCCAAACACAGATGCTGCACAGACCCTGACGGAGATCAGGGCCCCCGTTGTGCCAGGTCTGCACAGACACATAGCAAGAGACCATTCCTGCCCTCACAACTAAAAAACTAAAACATTTTTGGGTTTTTGGGGATCAAAATTTTTTGTGGATTTTTGAAAATTTGGAAAATGAGCTTTAAAAAAAATTATGAAACACAGCATCCATTTCCAAACAGTTCTCCTGGCTATAGATCAGCGGCTTTCAACCTTTTTTCATTTGTGGACCCCTAAAATTTTCAAAAGGAGGTCTGGTCCCCTTTGGAAATCTTACACACAGTCTGTGGATCCACAGGAATCCAAGGACCACAGGTTGACAACTACTGCTACATAGATCAGTGGCTCTCAATCTTTCCAGGCTACTGTACCCCTTCCAGGAGTCTGATTTGTCTTGTGTACCCCAAGGTTCACGACACTTAAAAAGCACTTGCTTACAAAGTCAGGCATAAAAATACAAAAGTGTCCCAGCACAGTATTACAAAACTGACAAATGGCTGACTTTCTCATTTTTACCGTACAATTATCCAATAAATCAATTGGATTATAAGTATTGTACTTACATTTCAGTGGATAGTGCATAGAGCAGTTTAAACCAATCACTGTATGAAATTGTAGTGTGCACTGACTTCGCTAGGGCTTAGCCTGTTGTAAAACTAGGCAAATATCCAGATGAGTTGATGGACCCCCTGGAAGACCCCTGTGTACTCCCAGGGGTATGCATACCTCGGGTTGAGATCCACTGCTTTTGACAGACAGAGTCTGGGTTTCAGAGTAGCAGCCGTGTTAGTCTGTATCCGCAAAAAGAACAGGAGGACTTGTGGCACCTTAGAGACTAACCAATTTATTTGAGCATACGCTTTCGTCAGCTACAGCTCACTTCATCGGATTCATAAAGTGGAAAGTACAGTGAGGAGATTTTATATACACACAGACCTTGAAAAAATATACATTGTAAGGAGAGTGATCACTTAAGATGAGCTATTACCAGCCGGAGAGTGGGGTGGGGGGAGAGAAAACCTTTTGAAGTGATAATCAAGGTGGGCCATTTCCAGGAGTTAACAAGAACATCTGAGGAACCGGGAGGGGGGGGGGGGGAGGGAATAAACAAGGGGAAATAGTTTCACTTAGTATAATGACTCAACCACTCCCAGTCTCTATTCAAGCCTAAGTTAATTGTATCCAATTTGCAAATTAATTCCAATTCCGCAGTCTCTCGTTGGAGTGTGTTTTCGAAGGTTTTTTGTTGAAGGATAGTCACTCTGAGATCAGAAATCGAGTGACCAGAGAGATTGAAGTGTTCTCTGACTGGTTTTTGAATGTTATAATTCTTGACGTCTGATTTGTGTCCATTTATTCTTTTATGTAGAGACTGTCCAGTTTGCCCAATGTACATGGCAGAGGGGCATTGGGTTGTTAATGGGGATAGATGAATAGGTGACCATGGGGATAAATAGATATTGTCTCTCTCTCTCCATACTCCACTCCCCACCCTGAGGATACAATCTGGATACAACCCTTTAGCCCAGGTAAAGGGTTAGATCCCAGCTGTGTGGGTGTGAAGGGCCAGGCACCCCAATGTGCTGTTTACACTGCGTTGTAAATCCAGAGATCAGACTCAGGTCCAAGCCCAACCACTTCCTACCATCCACTCACAAATCTGTCTGCAAGCCCTGCCCCCTCCCCTGCAAAATGTGGCAAAGAGTGACCCCTAGTGGTCACTTTGGGCAAACAGGTGGCCGCCCCGCAGGGATTTAAATGGAGAAGGTGTGGGGAGGAGGAGATAGGGTTGGAAGCACTGCTATGAATTTGCAGTGGGGACGGGGAGGTTAGTGGATGGAGACTGCTCTAGGCTGAGTGCAGAAGCTGACCCACCCAGGGCATCTCACTGTAGATACCAGCTCCTCAGCCTGCCCCCTCCCACGATCTCCCCGTGGAAGCAAACCCACCTGTTGCTTCCACTGCTCAGATCGCTGGCTGCGTCTCTGCTTCTTGTCACCCCCTCCGGCTGTGCTTGATGGGAACTGATTTGCCTTATGAGGGGCAAACATGCCATAAAGAACAGCCACCCACCCTTCTTATGACAGAAACAGGGAGTCGCTTCTATTAAGTCTGCCGGCAACTTCCTAGCTGATCTTTGGGAAATCGCTCCCTTGCTCTGTGCCTCGGTTTCCCCACCTGTGAAACAGGGATCATACTGACCTGCCTGCCACATGGTGCATGTGTGTGAAAGAGACAGCAAGAGCATACTGCCCGGTTCTATAGAGAAGATAAGGTGTCTACTACTGCCGCAAGCAGAGGAACTTTTCCTTTAGCTCAGGGGACCAAAGTCTTTGGGAGCAGAGCAGAGCGACTAGCCCCGGCTCCCCAAGCTGTGTGCACACAGGAACGAACTGTGACTTTTTTTTCCCAGTAGGTGCTTTTAAAAGGGCCTGTCTCCTCTGCCAGCACTTATCCTGCTCACCAGAGAAGCTCTCTCTGATGCCCCTGGAGGAGAGGGGCACCCTTCCCTTGTAGCTCCTCCCTGGGGTGCGGGAGGGGGAAGCTCCCAGGCCTGCTCCACCCCAGCCCCCACATGGGCTCCCTTGCTCTGTGGTTTGGTGTTGTCAGTTGCAAAAGAGGAAGCTGTCGCTCTCAGGCATCGGTTTCCCAGACACGAGGAGGAGGCGGAGGCAGCCGAAGCCGTCAGCAGCCAGCCAGCAAGGACGCTCCGTCAGGGAGATGGAGCTGTGGAAGCAGTGTGCCAACTGGTTGATCCAGTGCCGGGTGCTGCCCCCCAACCACCGAGTGACCTGGCCCAGCTCCCAGGTGTGCGAACTGGCTCAGGCCCTGCGCGACGGCGTCTTACTCTGCCAGCTTCTCAACAACCTAATGCCCCATGCCGTCAACCTGCGGGAGATCAACTTGCGGCCCCAGATGTCCCAGGTGGGTGAGCGGGAGAACCGGGGGAGGAATGGGGCCTGGCAGCTAAGGTGTTAATCTGGGAGCTGAGCGGAGGCTTATGGGATCCAGCTGGCCGTGAAGCGGTTAATGTCCATGGGGTGGGGGAGTTAATGGCATCAAGCTGGTAGCTAAGGGGTAAACGTCAAAGGGGGAGGCAAGGCTTATGGGGGCTCACTGGCAGCTAAGGGGTTAATATCCACCCCCCCCAAAAGGGGTGGAGGGGTTGAGACCCAGTTGACAGTTAAAGGGTTAACATCCAAGAGGAGGGGGAGTTCATGGAGTCCAGCTGATAGCTAAGGGATTAACACTGGGTGTGTGTCTGAGAGAGAGATGAAGCGGGTTTATGAGACCCGTTTGTCAAGCAAGGGGTTAACAGTAGTGTGTGTGTCTGGGGGTGGGGAGTTGCTGGGACAGCTGGCAGCTAAATGGTTAACAGCAGGGTGGTGGGTGGTTACGGGCCCCAGTTGACAGCTAAGAGGTTAACACGGAACTGGGGAGCCTTATATGCTTCCTCACCTGGCAGCTAAGGGGTTAACAGGAAGGTGGGTGGTGTGGGAGGAGGGTGCTTGCAGGCATTGCTGTCTTTGGGGATGGGGAGGAAATGGGATCCAGTGGGGGGGGAAGCAGACACCAGCAACGAACCCTTCAGCAGCTAAGGGGTTAACAGCAGGGCTGGCTGGGTGGGGGTGGGGGCTGAGACGGGCCCTGGGGTGAACCTGGCACATGGGAATGCAGCCCCTGGGGCAGCTCCCCTGGGTCAGGGCACAGGCAGGAGGGTGAATGATGGTGGGGTGGGGGCTGGCAAGCCCTGTTGAGCGGGGTTGGAGTCCGAGCTGCAAAGCCTTGGCGGGAGACGCGAGCAGGCCCTGGCTCTGTAGAGGACCGACAGTCATAGGAGGGGACTGGGGAACGGATACCCAGCTGTGCCCGGAATTGGAGAGTGGCAGGCTCAGTGAGCCCTCAGTTTTGGGCCCTCAGTAGGCCCTCAGTTTTGGGGCTTGGTGTGACACTCAAAGTGGGCAGAATCGGAGCCTTTCATAACACGCCAATGGTAGCAAGGAATAGAACCCAGGTGTCCGGACTCCCAGCCCTCCTGGTTCAGTCCACTAGACCTCATTACTTTCCCAGCACTGGGAACAGGACCCAGGAGTCCTGATTCGCACCCTCCCGACCCCCCCGCCCCATTCTAACCCCTAAATCCTGCTCCCCTCCTAGAACTGGAGACAGGACCCAGGAGTCCTGATGCTCAGACTTGTGCTTTAATAAGACCATTTCTCAAAGTAAATTTGAGGTTCAGAGCTGCATTAACCACCATCCGGGTGAGTGTGTGCAGCATGCATGTAGGTGGAGAGGAATTTACGACAGGACTGGGGAGCCCTGTTCCCAGCTCTGGGAGGGGTGTAGGGTCAAGTGGGTGAGAGCAGGGGCGAATGAGAGTCAGGACTCCTGGGTTCCATCCATGGCTCTGGGAAGGGAGTGGGGTCTAGTAGTTAGACCAGGGGAGGCTGGAAGTCAAGGTTCCTGGGTTCCTTTCCCAGCTCTGTCATGGTCCTGCTATTAGAGAAACAAGGTGGGTGAGGGAATATTGGACCAACTTTTACAACAACAATTGTCCTGCTACGAAAGATGCCAGTACAAATGGGGAGAGGGAGAGCTCAGTCGTTTGAGCTTTGGCCTGCTAAATCCAGGGTTGTGAGTTCAATCCTTGAGGGGGCCCTTTAGGGATCTGGGGCAAAAATTGGGGATTGGTCCTGCTTTGAGCAGGGGGTTGGACTAGATGACCTCCTGAGATCCCTTCCAACCCTGATATTCTACGAAATGGACCTTCAAGTTACGTCTACACTTAAGTTTTCCCAGCATAGCTATACCAGCCATGCCCTCCTAGTGTGGACACTAAGGCCTGGTTTATATTGGAATAGCTGCACCGGCAAACCCTCCTAGTATAAAGACAACGAGGAGCCCGGTGGCACCTTAAAGACTAACGGATAGTTATTAGAGACGCAGCTTGTGGCAAACGAGTACTTCCATCGTACAACAAAATAAATGATACCAGCATACACACGTCTAGGCCACGGTAACTGCAGTTCTAGCAGAGTTTTTGCTGGTAAGGGGATGTCACGTCCCTAAGCAACATTATTACACTGGCAACGTTTTTAATGTAGACCTGTCCTCGGAGGGCTTTCGCTGGAATTGCTGATTTTGGTTCTCCGGCCCTCTTCTCCTGGTATAGCCGCGTCCCTACAAACTAGAGCTTAGCTAGGGCGGTAAAAACCCACATCCCTAACTGATGCAGCTAGGCTGGTGTTACTTTTAAATAACCAGGCCCAAACGTGTGAGATCTGGAAATCATGGCCAGGAGGTGAATTAAGCCTCCATGAAATCTGATCTAGGCTCGAAGGAGGGTCAGAAGGGATGGAAAATCCGGAATTGGGTGTATTGAGATAAGGCAAAAGTTGGGCTTGGTTTCCACCCCTGACACATGCTCTGGGGTGAGAGGGCACTGATCGGTACTGGCGGTGGTCTGGGTTCAGGATAGCAGGGCAGAATGGGCTAGCGTTTCTCTTAGTGGTAAGACAGTGACTGTCTGGAAATGAGTCCTCGGGTGTCTCAATCATTCCCATGTGATTGCGCGGAGAGACAAAAGAAACAAATCGCTCTCAGTCTCTTACTCCTCAGAGACTCGAGGAAAAAGGGAGGCTAGGGCAGGCTCTGACTTACCCCGGTGTAAATCCAGCATGTCAAGGCACTTACTCCAGATTTACACCAGATCAAAAGGAAATGTGGGGGGTTGTGTTAGGTGAGCCCTTGTCTTTGTTAACTAAGGTCTTCCTCCGGGCGGGCGCCATATCTAGGGTGACAATCATCTTGGAATCCTGCTTGGCAAGAAAGGCCTTTTGTCGTGCGTGGGAATAGGGGAGTCTCCCTTTAAATGATCTGTGAGTCCCCGAGTGACGAGTGACGCTCACTGTGTTCTGTGTTTGAGAAGCTGCCAGAAACCAGTCAGAGCAGGAGAGTGTGTGTGGCCAACCCTGGCATGATTGTGTGCTGCTGAGTCCCAATTGCAGTGTTTACTAACTGGGTTCTGTATGGTGTTGGGACTCAGGACTCCTGGGTTCTAGTCCCAGCTCTGGGAGGAAGTGATCAGACAAGCAGGACTGGGTATCAGGACTCCTGGGTTCTGGGAGGGAAGCAGGGTCGGAGCAGGCTGGCTGGGAGCTCTCCTGAGTTCTCTCTATTCCCAGCACCGGGAGGGAAGTGCGGGTGAGTGGCGCAAGGGGTGGGGCGGTTGGGACTTTTATGTTCCATTTCCGAGCCTGCCACTGCTTCTGCCTGTGAAGCTGCTTCCCCTCCTGGCCCTCCGTTTCCCTATTTGCACAAATGGCAGATGACGACGTGGAACTTCTTTGGAAAGGCGTTATGCTGCCGTGCCATCTCCAGGTTTCAGGGCTGACCGCTGACCAGGGTCAGCGAGAACTACCCGCTCCCTGGCTCTAGTGGGCAGGATACCAGATTGGGAGTCAGGACGCCTGGGTTCCACCAACACGCTTGGGTGACCGGTCTTGCTCTGTGCCTCAGTTTCCTCCCTCTGGGGATGAGAATAAAACTCTTTGAGACTTGCGGATAGGGAGTGCTTTGCGGTCACATCATTAGATGCGGCATATGGGCTCCCCTTGCTTCTGAAGCAACTTATCGGAACAGGAATTTTCCCCTGGGTCAAATTGGCAGGGATGTTGGTGGTTTTATGCCTTTCTGGTGGATCACCGGGGCATGTCTCACCTGCTTTGCCATCACAGGGGCCTCAGTTTCTCCAGGTCTCTGTGTGTGGTACAAAGCAATTTAGTCTCTTGAGGGCTGAAGTGCTTTGGTCTAAGTAGAGTCACTGGGCTCAGTATAGGGGTGTCTGGGTGGGATATAGTGGCCTGTACTCCACAGGAGAGCAGACTAGGTGGTCTAATGGTCCCGTCTAATCTTAAACTCTATGAGACTGTGGAACTAGCTGGCACTGGGCTCAAGGGAGTGCTGGTCGATAAGAGTTTGGCAGACCGTATATTCCCTGCCTATCGCCCAATAGGACTTGGGTCCTGAATAATAATCATCCCTAGCTCTCCCTTTTCATTGGTAGATCTCAAAGGAGGTTAAGCACCAACATCCCTACTTTACAGGTGGGGAAACTGAAGCACAGAGCTGCCCGTGGTCACCCAGCTGCAGATCTGAGACTAGAATGCAGGTCTGTTGAGTCCCAGTCTAGTGCTCTGCCCACTAGGCTCTACTGCCTCTAGGAACTGGCCCCAACAAGATGTAAACTTGGCCCGGTGTTTAAAAACAACATCCCCATTGATTGGGGAAAATGCTGTAAACAGCTCCTGCGGTGTTTAGATAGTCAAATCCCCGGTGAGGTTGCCGTGTTACGGGACTGTTCCTAGGGTGACCACAGACTGAACAATGGAGCCAGAATGCCCCAGGCAGGCTCTCCCAAGAAGAGGAGCTTTAAGGAAGCTGCCAAGCGAATTATCTTGGCTGACACACCGGTCACGGTCATTGAACTGAATGCCCCAGAGCTCAAAGCCACAGCGGCTTGAACTGAAGAGCCAGGCTTCCCTAGCTGCCTCTCAAAATCCCCCTCCCCCGGCGGTTTTAACGCTCCCCCACTTCCCGTCCTGGACTGTTGTCTGCTATGGCTCTGCCACTGTTAAGCAGCTGCTACATCCCACTCCAGAGGTGGTTGCATTTCAGTGGTGGGTGGGTGAGCCCTGTGCTCTGGGGCTGTAACAAGCTCGTGTTCCCCGTGGATAGGGGCTTCAGGGAGATCCGTAATGTGCACTCAGTGCTGGGTTATACTGTGATTTAGCCAGGTCTTGTTGCTCCTTGGATGGGAAACCCAGAGTGCTGTTGGGGGTGGGTTGCCACCTGACTCCAGGACGGACCCCAATGCACCGTCACCAGGGTGCTGCACTTTGGGAGACCATCCAGAGCGTCCCTGG